ATTGTTATTACAGATTTAAGAAATGTTTATTTTATTCATTGAAAATTAAGATCATATTTATTCCCCATCAGAAATGATTGATCTCTCAAACACGTGTAATATACTACCAGGTTAATTTGTAGTGGTTAGTACTATATCAAGATCATATAGTCTATTTTAGCATTTGACCAAACCAATTTATTCACTCAATCAACATGCAATTTAACTGGAGTCAGAGAGGGTCGCTAAAAGTTCAAACATTTTTTTGTTTGTAACTTAACTAATTAAGTCAGCTATTTATTTGGACACATAAACATTGGTACGAAAAGGCATCAAATAAATATGCACTACACAGTAACAATCAGACCAGTAGTAGTTATCATTGATTTATGTGAAGGCAGTGATACTTACCGGGTGCACAAACTAAAGCAGTTGGTTCGCTTAGGCGACTAAACCTCAAGCGTTTAACGTGAAGATCCAATCTACAAGGCAGTGGAGTAACGTTAGGAGATGTGATCTCATGGTAGTCGGTGACCAACAATAGTTTATACGTCATTTATCTCTTCAGGACCCTGGGGCCTATCTGCACCATTCGTTTGGAATCAAGGTATTCCAACTCCCATGAGTGGATCCTTCATATCCACCGAGCCGGTAAAAACAAGGGACATTTACTTTTTATCCTCTCAATTTCGTAAACAACACGCCCACCGCGAAATGTAGTGAGTAGGACTTCCCTGACAATGGCTGTATACACGTGGTCATGTGAAAGTATTTCGAGAGGGAGGATGGACTCTCCCCACCCTCGGACATACCAAGGCGTTTGGGAGCAGTCAACTATGTGAAGTGTGAATTTAATTCACTTGACAGTTATATGCGATTTCATACATTGCCTTGTATAATTGTTTGATGGAGAAACTCTAAAACTCTTTTTATAGTACAATCATTTCATTTTAAAAGAAGTCGAAATACATGGAAGCTCTCATCATATTCTAGGTTTTATACTACCACTTTTGTCTGAGTTTTTATATACAGAACTGTTAGTCTCGGAACTCATATTTAGTATAACAAAATTAGATGAATTCATTGTACACTACATATATATTTATGAAATAAATTTTTCCACAGAAATAGTGATAACTACCCTGGTAAGTATGATCCAAAGATAACCAGGTAAGAAAACAGCAAAGACTAATCAGCAAACAAATAAAACGTTTATTTATGTTTGTAGTGACTCACGTTTATTACGAGAACACGACTGGTTCAATAAAAACAATTATTATTATAAACAGTTGTACCGGTGTTTGTTTTAATGTGCTTTTGTTTGACCGTGCTAATGACAGCTATATTGGGCTTCCATTCTTGTTCTTACACTTCGATTGTAATTTCGCGCGAATTCGGTTACCTTCTGTAACCAAGCTTGTATCCTGGCACGATCTCGGTATCCTTTCGATACCACGAGATCGCCAGTGAATAAATCTTGATTTGGTCCATTTTCTGCCTTCTGAAATTTGGCTTCTCGGGGTTTTTATGGAGTCATTTGGAACGAGCTTCTTGGTAGCGGTGTTCACAGTTAATCCCGACTCGACACCAAGCTACATGTTAAACCAAACTTTACAATTGATTTGTAATGTTATTCAATTCTCAATTTATATGACGTACATATTCAGAAGTATCGTAAAGTATTTTCGACATCTGTTATCTCCGTTTTATTAATATGGATACATTTCATATGATGTTAACAGACAAACTGGAAACTATTCAAGTGATCAGTATTACTTGTGATGAAAAGGCTTGAATGCTTGTATTAATATAAACTACATCCCCACCTTTATGAACTGCTGTGAAATTAAATCTGTATAGATAAAGCTTTATGGATTACTTAGTTCATTTCGAATTAATAAATTTCTATTTCTTACGTTTGGTTGCCTGATCAACTTAAAGTAGTAAGCTGATTGGAAGCAACGTTCAATTTACTAACTGTGTTTTCAGACAAATTCCTAGAATTATGTGTTTAAGAGAGAGTAATGATTTTGCAATTGCATTTATCAAGCACTTTAAAGATTTTGATTACAAATTTGGATATCCTTATATCGTTCAAAATAATCAACAACTAACAAAGTTACTATTAATCCGCTTTACAGAATCCGTTAAGGTCAAACACTCCTCATCCAACCTACGTCCTTTATATGTAAAACTGATAAGCCTCTCTTTGTCATAGGTGTAATTGTGATTAAATAATTTGATGTTACATAATCTTATTGGTATCCAATACGATAATATGGTCTTTATTCTTTTACATGTTTATACTTATTCTTGTGATTAGGTAGTCTCACCAATACAATTATGAACTTCAACAACCTTGATTATCTTTTCTAGACACATAGTGTCATGTTTTAACTATTTTAAATACTTTATATTGTTTTTTGACGGCCCATGATTGCACTCCCTATTTGAATGAACGAATGAGTTAGGATGTTTGGCTTCTCCGCTTCGCTTCGCCTCTTAATGTGTGTTTCAGTAAACTAGATTATGAAATAAATTTATCCAACTTAATCCGTATTTGGTTTCTTATTAACATTGTCACTCAAACGAGATTAGACTAGGTGTAATATACGGAGTTAAACGGAAGATATATGTCTATGATATAGTCACTCATTCGTTTAAACAGGTACTCAGCATAAAAGTATTGTGAATCGCGAGGCGGCTACTCTAATTTCTACCGATTGACCAGCTTCAGATATCCCAGTTCGACCCCAATACTGTTCCCAATCTCCAATATATCAGAACACGAACCGTAAATGAAAAATTGTTTATGGGGTCAGGAGCCGAATAATGATTTACAAACAAATGCATATTTATACAGTTAGGATTACTATAAATATTGACCAACAGAAAGATAACACGTGAAATAATATTGACCAATGGGGAAATGACACGCGAAAAAATATTGATTAGTAGGGAAACGACCAATAGGGAAATGACACCATTAACGTTCAAGGGTAGCATTAGACTTAACCGGATAATTGTTTTTGGGATATTTTTCTGAATATCCCAACAAAAAGTCACCAAAGTGGTGAGTCTGATGTGATTCAAACAGGCAACCTTCTGATCTAGAATCAGATCACACAGCAACTAAATTTCTGCTTGATATCATATCATATCATATTTTAGCTTCCAACATGATCTCACTAAGTAAAGTTTTTGAGACCAACATTTCCAATCACATTACTCTTTAACTAATGATTGATTGCAGCTGAAGTAGGATGGATTTACTTTATCCTTTGAATTTGTTCCATCTTGATTTATATGTATGACATTTTATAATACTGAGAATAAATATATTAACAAACCCGTTACACAAATTATGAATTTAGATTTTTTTTTAAAATATTTCCACTGAAATTCGCCTAATGCACACAAAGTGTCATCTACAAATTAAAGAGCGTTACAATTATTCCATGACCTCAAGCTATTGTTGTCATGAATTAAAAAGGAAATTCAGGAAATTTTGCCTTGTTTTATCTTACTTATAATTCAGTTTCTTAATATGATTGAGCTGGTTAGCAACACAGTACGATATTTATCTATATTGAATCTGCTTAATTCCTTATATTGCTTGGGGGTCACTCTTTTTTATTGTAACGAGTCGGTTATCTAGTTTGTTTTCTTGTTCTTGCTGTTTAACTTTCACGTGTACTTTACTGTTTAAACCTTTGATTGTATATTTTTCAATGAGTTCTATATTCTCATTTGAAGTGAGCTTTTTCTATTTGATTACAACTTTGATAAAGTAACTGACTTGGAATTTTTCTCTCTCGGTGTTTACTTTCATTTCTATAACTAAACTGTATAAACAGAAAAGGTTTTATTTGTTAGTGTTGGATATTTTAAGTAGTATTCATTCACTATGAGTCTCTGTACAAAGAAATTAATCTCTCTTTTCAGTTGACATGAACGTTATCCTCTGTGCTCAACATTGAATTAACTTAGTTTCATATAACCGATATTGATAATGTGATATCTGCATTGTGAGTGAAGATAAGTGTATAACCATGGGTCCAAGTTTCTGGTCAATCAGCCAACCACTGAAGTGTATCTTATCGACAAATTCCAAACACTTAGCATTAAACTGTAGTGTAGACGAGGTTGAATGAGGTATGTTGTTCTTCATAATTCAACATCCAGTGCTTTCAGGTTTTTAACAGTGGTCTAACTTAAGTCAGTTCATAAGTTCAATGAAATTCGGCAACCTTCACAACCTCAAACTGAAACGTATTAAAGAACCTGACACACAAGACGTTGATCAATACTCAGTGTACAGAAAATGTAGTAATGAAATATTCTTAATTAGGTTGACGTAACAACAAAATCGACAGTGAGTAAATCCCATTTTTCATGATTATTAATTGTCAACAAATGTACCGTTGGAAATACAACTCACAACCTACTGACCATCTGACAGACTATAAATTGTTATTTCAGCTACTTACTTCACTTCAAGCATTCAAACATAAATGAATACAAATAAATAGCTCTAGGTTAGACGACCACTGGAAACCTGAAATCACTGAACAAATATTTCGTCCCATCGTGAGACTCCTCAGCAATGCACATCCACGATCACACACACGGGACTCAAACCTAAAAACTTCAATCTCATACGCAAGCACCTAACCTCTAGACCCCTGAGCCTGTATCCAACAGTAATAATGTTTAATACCAATCGATCCACGATCTAACGCAGCCCTTGATCCATTGTCTGCAGTAGATAACTATCTTATACCCGACACGAATTAGGCTCCAGTGATCACGGATTCTCACTAGAACTCGTTAATTCAACTGTAAAAATACTACAATCTTCACTAATTCCCATAATGACAAATAAATAGGCTTATTATTGTACTATGTGGACATTTAATCATCTACAGTAATATTAACATCTCAGTTAAAAAATACTTTTGTGATAACAATTTCCATTTTCTTAATATCAAATTATTTACTGAAAATGATTGAACTGAAATTCATTCCTCTGAAAAAGAACATTTAAAATAAAGAAAAGTAGTAAAGAAAAACGTCATGTGAAATTGAAAAAAATAATTCCATTGTGAATTTTACTGTCACTAAGCTCACTCTGAGCACACTCGATAAAACATAATTATCTAAGTGTCCTTTTTCTCTCCATAAAACTTATCAATTTCTGCCCCCAATTGACTGTATTTTTAAAGTTTTTTTATATTAGTAAACAATGTTAACGTATAATGTTATTATTGTTGTCTTAGGTCTCTATGGTATAAAGTATTAATTACATGACTTATCCCAACAGTTGTTGCTACTTTGACGTGGTGGTCGGGCTTGCCTATCGTGATGAAGCAACCGAGCTATACTGGCTGGAACAACTGTTCTTCAAGGCCCTACCATGTCAGACAGGTCGGTTGATGAGCGGTAAGACTAAAAGCAACAAACTCAAGATCCGAAAGCGAAGTCGTACTGCTAACTGTTCAGAGGTGTGACAACAGTAAGGTGTTTCCTTCAGACGACTAGCATGACAGCGATGCTGCTTTCCGACAATGAGGGGTGGGCTTGGAAAAGATCGACCATAAAAATGCACAACTCGACTTATCCCACGGATGTCCATCTCCAACGATAAGGTCTCAACAAGTACTGAGCTAACACGGAAATTACTCATAAAAAGATCGTGTGTGACCAACCTGAAGCAGTTGTCCCTTGGGCACTGCGGTCACGCTCTCAGGTCACTAAGACCATCTCAAATCGAATTTCTTTTTCAGGTGCCCTCAGAAGAACCCTTACACGGTGTGGGCAACTGGAAAGTGATAACTGCCCTCATACCTCTAAAAGCACTCAAAACTGATCATAAAAATGAACAGCTAAATTCATTCTTTTGAATTTTAATCAATGAATGTTTTACATGTTGAATGTAGATTAATTTAATGATTGTATTTTTAATCGGAGTAAAGTTTTGTGGATATTATTATTAATTTAATAGTTGAATTCATGAGACCACCATGGTAAACCTGGAAGCACTGGACGGCCGTTTCGTCTCAGTATGGGACTTCACAGCAGTGTGTATCCACGATCTCGCCTTGCAAGACTTGAACCCAGGATCTATCAGTCTCGCGCGCGAACGCTTAACTATCAGACTACTGAGCCGGCTGGCATCCAACGGTTTCAATGTCCAACTTCAACTAATCCACAAAATTGAGCGACACATCTACCATTGTCATCAGTTAGTTATTATCTCACAACAGACCCTGTTGAACTTCACTGATCATGAATTCTATTTTTACAGGGGAATGTCAAACACATTTTAAATGATTAATTTTATAAAGTTTATAAAACAAAGTCAATAAAATTGTTTGATAGTGATTGAATGATCTATCTGTACAAAATAAATAAATACAAAAATTAACTAAGTATATTTTCATAAGATTTAAAATTAGTTACAAATTAGAACCAGGAAGTGAACCATTGCAGTGTTTTGGTAAGCCAGATTCAGGGATATTAGCATAGTTGTAATTTAAAAACAATTCCTAAGTTTATTAACTTCGCTTGAAAACCTTTTGGAACTACTGCCGGTGGCAAGCTCGGAAAAAGCAGGAGGGTCAGTATGAAGTTAGCAATCCCATCCCGTAGAAAACTAACTCGTTCAAAAAAACGATGATCAAAAAATATTATTCAAAGCATTTAATCTCTGCTCTGAGAGTTATAAAGTCTTCATTGAGAAGAGTTATAACGTCTCGTGATGAAAGCCGAGTTCCTTCAGAAGTCACGAGGCTGATACCCCTTCTAACAACCAGAACAATTAAGGTACATGGAATGTTCATACAATGTAGAAGACCTTAATTTTGGTTAGAGATCATTTCTTTCCATTCTCTAATAATGTTTTTTTCAAATTAACCAAATTGTAGATAGAATATATATTTTTGTTTATTTAAGCCAGTAATTTTTCGCTATAAAATGAGAAACATTAACTATTTTACCTAATCTGGTATACATTTAGAAATGACTAAGAAAGTTAAATCATTGTAAAATTTTCATATTTTTAATTTTATTACAAACAGATAATGTAGACAACATTTTATGTAAAAATAGCTTATAAGTATCAATAATAAGGTTGGGCTTGACAGTTTCAAATAAATTGGACATTGGATAGAGAGTTACTAACTAATAAATGTATATTTTTGTTTTATCTTAATGCGTGGGAAAATTGTAGTTCTGACATTTCGTGACTTAGTGTAAGCAACGTCTTCAGAATAAATTAAAAAATATTTAAAGAATTATTTACTCTGAAGAAGTGACATCATTAAGTCACGAGATATAACAAAAATATATTTATGTTAGGACTCGAGAAACATAATAAATGGTAACCTTGGGATCCATTTATAGACCAATACTATACTTATATTTTTATCGTATAATTGTTAAATAATTAAACTATATATTGTCATGTCCCTCTTATTATGAGCTTTGTTTTGGCCCATAAACTATTATTATACGATTTACTATTCTTGAGTTATACCCAGTATATTAAATACTACCTCCCTCATTCACAGCCACATCTGGCTAATTATTGTACAAATGTTTTTTTCCTATTTTATTGGTACGTTGTGGTCTGTTTGATTGGTATATAAACCCAGTATGTTTTAAATATAAGGATTCATATCACAGAGGCCTCAGCCTCTGTTCTGGACTTAACTAGCTGGGCTAGGCGGTAATCAGGGCCAATCAGAACTCCAAGCTGCTCATACGGGTTTACGCGTCATTGTTCCTATCGATAATTCACTGCTCTCTAATAGGCAGTCACAAGTTATAATAATTTATTAGTGAAAATAGTTGTTCCTATTAAATTTTAAGCTAGTCTACCTTTTCAGGATGTATAAGTAAGTTCATTAAATGTACTCATCATATTAATATCTTACGTGAATTATACGACTGTATGTTGATTATGTAGTAAAAGAGAGCATATATGGGGACAACCAAATATATTTGAACACAAATTAACAGAACGTCTTGGTCAAATCTAACTATACAGTAAATACTTAATCTGCAAATTATCCATTAATTACCTCAGACTTGACTGTCCCTTTGTTTTTACCATAATCATTCCCTGTTCCCGTTCTATTTTCTTCGATCCACTTAACCGTCTGCCGTTAAGCATTTCACTTTCGGTTGATGATACATACTACTTATATCTGTCGATATCAGTATCACACCAAAATTATACTTTTTAGTAACTGTGAATGATTTTTTTTAACAGTATTTAATTGGAAATATTAATGTCTTAATTTTGATACTTTTGATAGCTAAAATACATATACATCAAGAAAACATTAATTTACCAAAATATAATATTAGGAAAGTAGTGAGTGTCAATTCCAACAATAGTCTAACGAGATGTATTAACTTGATGTGTAAAAAAGGTAAGTCTTTTGGAAATAAGTTTGTATAAATGATTTTTGTTTTTGTAAAAGTACTAATTCCATGAGGAAATGTGAACACAGTTAATAAAAAGGTTATAATACTAGATTACGTAATATGAATAATAACAATTCTTTTACACTAAGAAAATAATATTAACTATCCACTTACTTGTACTCAACTCGTTAATGTTTGAGATATATTTCTTGAACACAGTGAAAAATACTGTAGTTAGAAATAAAAATAACATGAAAATACACATAACTTGAAATTATATTGATATCATGAATGGATCAATTTTAAACCACCACTGAAAACTTGGGAGCACTGGACGATCTTCTTGTCCTAGTTTAGGACAGTGCGTATCCACAATCCTGCACTCGAAACTCGAACCCAAGACCTTCGGTCTCACGTGAGAATGCTTAACTAAATAGGATGAAATGACCGTCCAGTTCATCTAAATTTCTAGTGATATTCTAACATTGATTCATTCACGATATCGATTTAAATTCAACACTCTCCACAATCCTATACTGATTGTTGAAATTAATTTTTTTCAAACTCATTTTATTCAGAGAAAAATAAATAGGAACAGATCATAGTCTTTGTATTAGGTACAGTAAGATGTGATATTTATAAAATTATTAGGAAAAAGATTATCATCATAATTTTAACAGAACTGGTCTTGACTTGTACGAATTCAATGTTTACTAGTCATTACTAAGCTTCCTAAGAAATAATCACATGATTTTAACCAATATAGTGTTTTTGATTTCATTGAAAGAGGTATATTCATTTTGGATTTGTGAACATTGTGTATAATTAAAGTGCCCACAAGCTTCAGCTTATGATTTTATAGTTTTTGATATCAATAAAATGCTTCCATAAAATTTAGTTCAGTAAAGAAAGTTATATATTCTGTATTCTGTGAATATATTCAGTTGATAACACTGGTAAAACGAAAAAAAGTTCCATTTATATCCAGATACTCTATTAAAGGACAATTATTTTGAAGGGTTAAAAAAAATCGTTCCAATAATGTACGACAGCCAAAAAATCAGATAAAGCTTAGTGGCTTTCGGTGGTTTTTTAACCAACATATCTTAATTATTCTGTACAAATTTATGATCTGGTTTTATAAATTATTCATACTTTTCTATAGAATTATGAAGGAGATTAATTTCAACATTAATAAATAGAACTTACTTTGCATGGTTTCGATGAACTTTGTTTTATGAAATGAAAGACTATTTCGTCTACTTGATGATATCCCCAATGAATACACTAGAATACAAGAGAAATTATTAAACATGTTTACAAATAATGAATATGAGTTAGTAAATATTATGAAAACAGTTGACATTTTCTCCCAATATGATATTTTTCCTAATACAATTAATTGTCTGAAACTTCACTGTTTTAGAAAGGGATCAAGCTAATATTTTGTCCTATTACTGTTTACTTATAAAAACAGGTAAATTTTATAAAATATAGCAAGATACCAAGGATTTCATTCCCCTTTTTGTCATACATTTAAACTATGCATAAAAATGTTAGTTCCTATGTTTTTCAATCTTCGAATATATTTGTTTTCAACCCCATGTTGTTAAGCAGTTTATTTAATGGATTCTTAGTCTTTATGCTAATTTCCTCGTTCAAATTAAACTTTATATTTATTGGCAGTTATGTCCAGATATGCATAATGAATGGTAACTTTTGGGATCCATTTATGAACCAATACCATATGTATATTTTTATCGTATAACTGCTACATGAATAAATTATACTTATTCATGTCCCTCTTATTATGAGCTTTATCTCGACCTATGAAATATTATTATACGATTTACCATTCTTGATTTATACCCAGTCTATCAATCACTATCTCTCACATTCACAGCCACTTTTAATTAAATCTTGTATAAATGTTGTTTCCTATTTTATTGGTACCATGTGGTTTATTTGGTTGGTAATAAATGATTCATATCGCAGAGTCTGAGATTGGTGTTTTGGACTTAACTAACTAGGCTAGACAGGAAGCGTGACCAATAAGTACTCTAGACTGCTCGTACGGGTTTTACGCGTTCCTGATCCGATCGATAATTTACTGCTTTCTAATTGTTGGTATCATTACGTATACATTAACAGGGAACACTGGTCTCAAGTTATAACATTGGGATTACCAAACAAAACTCTACAAGGGTGATTAGAAACGAGATACACTTTTTCTGGTACATAGATTAAAAAATTCAATAGTTTTTACACAATGGTTAGTATATACTTCTTTGATACTGAATTTTGATAAAAATATTTAATGTAAAGAAAAAGAGACTTTTTAGGTAGTAAATTGAAATTATCAAACTTATATTGAATTTTAATGGTTAACCATCATAAATTCAGTGACACGATTTAATGCATTTAACGGCTACTTATTACTATGATAGCTAGTTAATCAATGATGAAATGTGAAATAATCCCAAACTAATTGTGGTAGACGCTAACATCTAACAACTGATCATTTCAAAGTAATTAATTTATGAAGTTTTACTGATGTTTCGGAAACATGTACAAAACAACAGCTAGTTCTGTTAGATTAGAATTATCGAATTTTTACGCTTTAATCTCCTATAGTAATTACTGACATACTAATAAATAAGCCAAATATCTCTAACCATCTTCTTTAATTCACTTGAAATTATGTATGACTAGTCATGTCTAGAATTAAAATAATTTTAACTTACTCTTTTTGTTATAATCCCGGGTAATGAACATAATTTTTCTAGAAGCATTTTCTTTAAACTATCCATAATTGGTGACACAAGAAACAATTTTCCAAGAGATACTACTCCCATACATATATCACAATCTAACGATAAACATATTGTTTAGTTACAAATGACAAACTTTTAGCTTACCTATTTCGTTAGCATGTATGTTCAAAGATGATTTGGCCTAGACAAGAAATACATAACAGGAATTGAAACATCATTGAATGTTGTATAAATAATCCAAGAGATTTTAATAAACGGCATGGTATAGTTTCTAATAGATCGTAATTTTATGATATTCGAAATCATTTATGCAAAAAATCCCACTTAATTCCACATATATATAAGCTTCCTATCATGCAATGATTTGAGACTCCAATTATCAAATGAGTTTTTGTAACAATCAGGGGGTTAGATAAGAAGAGAAGGATTAAAATGATGTATGGGTGAAAATTATGGAAGATGATTGTTCGCTTGAAAAATATGAAGAAATTTTAGTAGTTAAATTCATGAGTTGATCTAAGCTAGACCACCTTTGAAAAGCTGGACTCATGAATTCATCTATTAAAATGACTACAGTCTCTATAAATCCCCATTCAGATATGAAAAAAAGCAAAAAAACTACGCAAGGGTCATAATAATAACAATCATGAAAAATTGTTAAAGGATGATGATAAATGATAAGGGATTAAAATTATAAAATAATAATAAAAAAAGATACTACAGAAGGGAATTAAGGTCATAGATGAGAGGTTGTGCATATAGTATTTGCAATCAGAGTTCAGTCTTAAATTGGCAGATTGCCAACGCCTCAGTAGTGCATAAATATTCGACTTATCCTCCCCTTAATCCACTTTCTTTGATCGTGTAGATTTTTCTTTATTTTTCTTCATATTTGTCAAGAGGACAATCATGTTTCATAATTTTGACCCGTACATCATTTCCATCCCTCTAATCTTATCTAAGCCTCTGATTATTACGCAACCTCATTTGATAATTAGAGTTTAGAATCACTTCATGATGTATTATTTTCTATCCTTCTATTGATGTATTTACTATACAACAATAAGCACAAATGTAAATGATTTTGTTCAAAATAAAACTTTCTCTCTCAAAAGTCTTTATTTTTATTCATTGACACAATGGGTTATTTTAACTATTTGCAATATCTATAGACAGAATATGCCTAGTTGCACTGACTTCCTAATTAAAAGTTCCACTATTGCTGAATAAATATTCTTCTACATTGATACTGTTATAAAACAAGATGATATTTTTTCAGACACTAAATAAAAGAAATCAGCTAGTTGTTAAGTTTTCCATTTCAAGTGAGGTATGTGTTTGTTTATTTTATATATACGCTGAACAATAGTCATCCTATTTCAAAATGTTTGCATGTACATTATAGATTGAATTCACCTTGTATTGTTTACTTATATATTTTCATTAATGTTTGGTACTGCAATTGATTATTAACTTATTGACATACATGCATAATGTACATAATGCGTCAATATTACCTTGATTCAAAAGAGTTATAATCAAATATAGATAGTGGCTAGCAACTCCAATAAGATACTGATCAATTACAATCTTAAATATTATTGAGAATATTCAAGTAAACAATACCAAATGAATTTAAACTTCACTCCATTACACAAGGAAGTGGCTATAAGGATTAAGTAGCTAAGTGAATAATGTGATAGTATTTGAAGCGAATGATACTGAGTTCAAGTTCAACAGTGAACACCAACACATGGATACAGTTATATCTAACTGACGAGTCCCCAATACAACAAAACGCTCGTCATGTATTCTGCTGTTAGTCACTATCCATATTCGCTTACATTATTCATTAATTTGTAAACAATGTTTTTTAAGTTATCCGAAAGTTTCATTTGGACCTTCTACGACCTAACTCAAGTTACACATATTATAGATTAGATAATTTTATCAAGTTGTTTAAGTACTAGAACTATCTTTCCTTTCTAAAAACCCAGTCATTATCCGAATGGAAAATTAAAAACGTTTATTTCCTGAGATAACAAAGATTTACTCATAATATAAGATACAGATCAATCAATTCTATAATCCTTTTAAACGGTCGAATCTGAACACTTAATTAAATACATAGGAAATAATTTATTATAATAACACCTTACAAAGTTTATACTTACATTAATTCCATCACTTTGCCATAAAAACACTACAAACAATGGTAATAAGTTAAGTGTTATAAATAATATTACCTGTTAATAAGGTTAACACGATACAATTAATATGGAACATAATAAAGATTCCACTTGTTATGATTAAAATAATTCATATATGTAGGTGTCTTGTCTATGGTTAATTCTTTTCTATTTATTTAATATTTCAAGTGTTTTGTTGATAATTTGCTAAGTTCAGAGTTAATCATTATTGTTTTTAATGTTTATAATAAGTGTTATCCGATACATAATTGTTTATTCCAAGGAAACAAAACTCTATTAGAAACTAGAACTTTGTTCTTTATCTAACAAATAGCATATGAGGCATATGAAAACAAAAACATAACATAAGAATTTCGATTATTGTTTTATTTATATTTTGTACTTTACCAAATACAGTGTGTACTATTGTGGTGCGTGCTACTTATATTGATATAAGTAGTATATGATGCGAGTCAGAAATGTCATGTCTGGTAGCGGAAGATGGGGAAAATCAAGAAAGGATGAGCGGGAATAGAAAGCAATTAGTATAGAAATGCAAGAACAACGAAGTTCGAGACAATTATTGAACATTTTGCAAATTAAGAATTATAGCATAGTTTTCTTATTTTACCAAATGACTCTGTTCCAACTGGTGTTCACTACTATAATTTATTTTGTTGAATCTATCTTAATTCTTTTTTATATTATGTTATGCAAAAGAAAAAGCAAGATTCTCCGATAAAACATAGAATAAACCAATCGAATCACAGTTGGTGGAGAAGCTTTGGACGATGTAAAAACATTTACATAGCTAGTTAGTATCATTGATGAACACGAGGGATCTGATGTAGATGTAAAGGAGCGGAGCACCATATCTACAATTGAAGAACAACTGTCAATCAATACCAAAGTCGAAATGTCCAATATAAATGTCAAGACAGTTCTACTGTATGAGGAGGAAACTTGGAGAACTACGAAAGCCATCATCCAGAATATAAAAGTGTTTAATAACAGTTGTCTACGCAAACTACTTCAGACCCGTTAACCAGATACTATCATCAACAACCTACTATGGGAAAGAACAAACCATATCTCAGTAGAGGACGAAATCAGGAAGAATCGCTGGAAGTAGATCGGACGCACATTGAGGAAAGCATCCTACTGTGTTGCAAGGCATGCTCTCACTTGGAATTGTCAAGGCCAAAGGAGGGGAGGAGGTGCAAAGAACACATTACGCCGAGAAATTTAGATAGACATGAGAAGAATGAAAAAAATTGGATAGAACTGGAGAGGAACGCTCAGGAAAGAATAGGTTAAAGAATGCTTGTCGGCGGCCTATGCTCCACCGGGATTAAAAGGCGCAGTAGTAGTAGTAGTAGTTGTTGTTGTTGTTGTACTGGTAGTAATGATAGTAGTAGTATGAGGATGATTCTAAAGACTTCTTTCAAAGATCCTCACTCACTCTAACTGTAATGATGAACTTGAAGATTCAAGAAAATAAATGTATAGTTTATTCACTACAACCTTAGATTTGTGTAACTGAGGAAAAACCGAATGACATTTTTGCATTTATTCATAGCAACATTCACTATCCAAAGCTACAAAATTATCAAGAATGTGATGATTGATTATGTAATATGTAATATTATATGTCTAGTATATGATATTATGTTCAGATTCCAATCCGATAGAATTCATGTAACATTATTTCAAAAGCGAAATCAATCCTTAATCATTCCTTATGATATATTCATGTAGGATTATCGAATTTCAATTCATTTCCCTTAAACAATATGCGTTGAATGTTGTCCATTTGCTTTCACCTACCAAGTATATAAGCTTTGAAAAATATCAGACCACCTTACTTTAATTTGTTATATGCGGATTCTTACTAGAAATTCGAGAATTACCTATCGAAGGTAGTCACTAGTGGGTACATGATGATTATCAGTATAGCGTTGTGGCTTTCATTGAAATCATGAATTTAGATACTAATACCGTCAAATCCCGACTTGGTGATCTAAATTTTGAGTGTTCTTTTGAGACCAAAGGTCCGTAGTTCGAGTCTTACGTGGAGAATCATGGATGCGCACAGCTGAGTAGTCCCATACTAAAACAAAATGGCCACACAGAGCTTCTAGGTTTTCAATCGTGGTTTAACATTGATCGGTTTATGATATGAATGAAACTCAACAATCTCTATAACCTTATACTAAAAACATATTTATCACAATCTGGATGTTTTGCTTACAAGCTTGTTATAGATCAAAAATGCATCAGATGGCTCATATTAACTTTCACTGAAAAGACATTTCTCATAGAATTGTTTCCATAGATAAGCTACATGAACATCTTTATTCATGTAAGACATTTTTTTACATTTCTATCAAATGGTAAAATATTCGTATAATAATTTTCTATATAAGCAAAGATGGGTAATGACTAGCAGTGGAATTCAGGAATCGCGTTTCGTCCTATTTGAGACTCATCAAGGGATGTACCTGCATCCCAAAGTTGATGTTCACTCTGGGACTCACACAAAATGTTTAAAGTTATGTTGAAGCTTTGTCTCATTATTATTATTATTATTATTATTATTATTATTATTATTATTATTATTATTATTATTATTATTATAGCTTCATCAATATGACCTTGCATCCTTTTTATTTGTATCACTATCATCACACAAAGTTGTGTCGACAGACACTTTTGAAAACTGGTTTGTCATTAGTAGAGGTTTCTTAATTCAGATTTATATTTCAGTACCAATATTTTTCATGTGTTTCATACAAGTGATAGACTTCCATGAAGTGTTTTAATTTAGTTTCAATATATTAGATGATTTTCACAAATCAACTCAGCGACTTTAATACATTTAAATAAATCATTTTGAGCAGACAAGTTATTGTTGTTAAGATTTTGTGCTCACATCTGAATTTGTTATTAAATATGGTTTCACTTTCTAATCTGAAAAAAAAGTGATTCGCGATAAATATAACCAAGTTACTCATAAAAACATTGTTTACTTATGTTAAGAAAGTCTAAACTTTCTTAATATTTGACATAAGTTGACTATAAATCGAAGAATATAAGCATAAACCTAAGCCTTTCCATAGAATTCATTATTACATTAAGATGCATTCGCAGAGTTCATAGTAGAAACATTGATTTAAGTTAAGCAGTGTTGTCCAATCAGTTGAAGGAAGGATTGACAGGTAAAATGAAAGTTAGAATTCCAAACTCATCACTAAATCCCTATTTATATTATGTAAGTTGGAATTTTACTGAACATTACTTTCTTCACCGTTCTTTGCAATGAATGTAATATTCTTACTGTTTGTCAATTATACATAAAGTATTATGGTATTACTCAATAGAAAGAAATTTATATGATGGCCTGAAACTAAGTTTTTTGCTGCCAAAGGTTCCCTATCAAATTGTATCTGCAATCTTGATTTGATTTTCATCACATTAATTTCTAACTGATATCAACAAGTGTAACGATATGAGAAGTTACAAATGAATTGCTTTACCCGTACAATACATTTTTAGTAACGGAATACATATGTAAGCTGTATTCATTTTCTTCTAAAGACTATAGACATGAAATATTAATAAAAGCTTCAAATACAGTAAATTTGCCTTTAAAAAGAATAAATGTACGTCTGATATGATGGCTGATTATTATTATCCGTATTACATTATGATCAATTAATACATTCGATGCATAAAACCAATATCAAAATCTTTGTACTGCAACATGAATACTTGACGTTTTATTCAAGCTAAATCGTTAAAAGACTTTTATGAATCTTTTGTCATATATCATTTTTTCAAATATGTACAATATAATAAATCAATTCAACATTGAAGTTTAATAATGTATTTATCATTCAACCTAACAAAAGACTATTTTGAAAGACTTTAAGGCTGTGTGCTCGAATATCGGAGCTATCACTTCCTGCATTCTGGATATTTCGACAAGTTAACTGTTTTCTTGTTTGTTTTAGCATATCATTATGCCTATTAGTCGCATAACCTATGCAGGTGTGTTTGTGAAAAGTTCACGACCTTTCACTGTACAAGTTGAGAAAGAACACAATCAGAGACATTGTGATTGCTGGCAATATCCATTAAAATAAATGAACATTATTCAGTTGTCGATTCCTAAATCGCTAACATATAACTGGAAACCACTCAATATTTATCTTAAAGACTGATCAAGAAAAGGATACTTATTGAAATACTTTTGCTGTTTATTCTATATTGTACTAAAAATATAATACTGAGTAAAGCTACTTATGATAATAAATTGTATAGGATTATTAATACAATGAGTTATTTCAATCTAGAAAACATTATGAGCAAAGATGAATGGTGACTATCAGTGTAATCCGGAACGCGTGTTTCGTCCTATTTGGGACTCGTCAGTCAGACGTATTTGCATCTCAGAGTTGATGTTCATTCTGAAATACGAACCCAGTACCATTCGCTTCAAATCCCATTGAGTTATCGTTTTAACTAGCTTCAGGATTATACTGCTGGCCACCATCCATTTTTGCTTATAATGTTTGTGACTTAAGGCAATACCAATGCAGTTCACACAGAATAAACAGGATGCAATCTTAAACACGAATGGCAAGATTAAAACAAACAATACAAAATGAATTTAAATTAGAAAACAATTACTATGAATATAAAATCACGGAATATACAAATTGTAGCCTTAAAACTATGAAACGTGATGAAGAGAAATTTATGAAATAATTGATATGACCGATGATTCGAAATAAATTAATATCAATTTCATTCATTTTATTATGACGGTTTCTTAATGAGATTTACCGTTTACTGATTCAGAAGTAAGTGTTACATGTTTACAAATCTATGCTGTAGAATTAGAGTATGGATGCTTTCATTTAATTTAAATATTCTGTTAATGGTAACTTATTAAAACTACGCTTTTTATTTCATTCAATGTTATTTGCATGTATCATTCCATTGTTATTTAGGATTTTAATTGACCAGCCTCTTATTAGCATATGTGCATCTTGTGTCAATTTTCTTGATATTGACTTAATTCACAAGTATGATAAGCAAAGTTAAGTAGTGGTTAGTGGTGGAATCTAGGACGAGCGTTTCGTACTATTTAAGACTCGTCAATCAATCAGTCGACTACAGTGCAAAGTCTTGCATAGAGAAAAGTTGATAGCTGCATTCCAAGTAAGGAACGGAGTCAGAAAATTCTGCCTATTCTTTCCCTTATTCTTGTTCTTTCTTCTGGTGGTCGACTGGATTATGAAAATCTCTACATCTGTAGGAAAACATGAGATACAATGAACAGCTCGGAATGAATCAGAAGATTTGGACTTCTCAGATGATACGGTCCTTCTATCCCATACACACCAACAAATCCATATGAAGACAACTAGTGGAGCAGAATCTTCTACATCAGTAGGCATCAACATACACAAAGAAATAATCAAGATTATCAAATACAACACAGAGAATACCTACCCGATTACACTTCGTTGAGAATCTTTGGAAGAGGTGGACTCTTCCACGTACCTGGACAGCATGATGGATGAATAAGGAGGATCGGATGCAGACGTAACGGCGAGGATTGTGAAAGCAGAGGCCGTATTCCTACAATTGATGAGCATATGAAACTCAAAACAATTGTCTACCAACCAATATCAATGTCATAATCCCGAATACGAACGTCAAGAAAGTTCTACTGTATGTAGCTGAAATGTGGAGAACTACTACAACCATCATCAAGAAGATTCAAGTATTTATAAATAGTTATCTACGCAAGATACTCAACATCCGTTGACCGGATTCCATCAGCAACATCCTACTGTGGGAAAGGACAAAGCAGCTTCCAACGCAGGAGGAAATTAGGAAAAGATTATAGAAATAGATGGGACATATATTACGCAAATCACCATCCTATATAACTAATCAATCCATAACTTAGAATCCTGAAAGGAAGCGGAATAGAGGACGGCCAAAGAACACATTACGTCAGGAAATAGAATCAGATATGAAAAGGATGAATCAAAAATGGAAAGGATTGCTCATGACAGTATTAGATGGAGAATGCTGATGTGCAGCCAATGCTGCTTCACGAGGAGTAACAAGCGTAAGTAAATAATTAGGACTCATCAGTATCCCAGAGTTGTCGTTCAATTCAAAATGAAATATATTTTATATCTTTCATCTGAAAAAGTAACTTATTATTATGTAATCATCTATCTTTTCAACAAACAATTGGACTTTGAAACTCTTCTCATTTATTTGATACCTTAAATGATTATAATTAGAATTCTGTATGAATGAATACAAATGAATAAATATATTACTATTCTATTCATTACAAGTAATTTTCTATTATATTAATATAATTGAATCCAATTAGTTTTAATTCATACAACAATAAATGGTATTCAGGTAAATCATTTTAATTCATCAAAATTCTTTTATATAATAGTTAAACAATAAACAATATAGAATAGAAACTATACAAAATAGATCAAATACAGATTATACATTAATATACCTTCGAAATAATCAATCTACAATAAAATGTTCACTTTGTAAAATAATAGTTAATGCAATTAGAAAAATGATGACAAAACTTTCAACATTTCAAATGATTCATTTAATTATTCATGAAATGTGCTCTGTAGTTGAAGATCATACAGTAGAGGTAAGATTTAATGAATATTTTGTTTTGTCATATCATTTAAATTTTGTGGTTTGATTGAAGTTAGATATTAAAACTGTTGAATGATGGTCTCAGTGGTCTTTAGATTAGGCGTTTATGCACAAAACCGAAAGTCCTGGATTCAAATCTCGCGTGGAGGAATTGTGGATGTGCACTGTGAAAGAATCTCATACTAGGACGATACGGCCGTCGAACGCTTCCAGGTTTTCCACGGTGGTTTAGCTTCAATCAATTCATGATTTCAACGATCGTATTATATTAATATACTAACATTTTGGATTAACTCGTCTATCAGTATATACTTGTATACACATGACAAAATAATGACCGTGACTACTATTTATTATGTCATCGTGTTTAATAACAAAATATGTCATTGCGGTGTGCGCTACTTATATTGACATAAGTAGTATATGATGTTAGTAGTACACAGAAGGTCTGGCAGCAGAGAGTCAAGAGAATCGAACAGTAAAGAATGAAAACAAAATGTAATTTGTATGAAAATGCAAGAACAATGAAGTCTGAGTCATTTTGAGACAATTGGTGGACATTTTGCAAATTAAGCATTTACTTTATGATTGTTAGATTTTATTAAAAATTCCTGTAATTTGTGTTAAATACGTCCGATTGTCCCCACCCGTGTTGTGCTCATGACAATATTAGTAAAGAATCATAAATGAACGGCTACTTTAAAATAAAAAAGATATTTTTACAGTAATTTTAAATTACGAGCAAAAGTAAATTGAATACGTTCGTAAATTACACTGCCTAAATAGAACTCAGTAATACTTAATCGTATTAAAACGCTTATACAGTGGTTAGACACTGTAATTAATACACTTCGCAAAATCTACCATTTGTTATAAAAGTCTCAAGAAATGTATAGTATATTCATTTTGATATTCGAAAATTCATTGCTTGTTAGGTAATTTAAAGATCGTTTAAGTAGAGAACAAATCCAGCTCAAAAAGCATTTGATTTTTAATCAGCTGTGTGGTTAAACATTCATGATACTTAACAGTATATGGATTGTGGAGATTGTCGAATTTAGATTGATATAATGAATGGATCAATGTTAGAACACTATTGGAAACGTGGAGGCACTGGACGGCCGTTTGGTCCCAGTATGCGACTGCTCACCAGTGATCATTTACGACCACGCACTTAAGACCCAAACCCAGACCTGATCCTGCTCGAAAACAACCAATCTCTAGATCACTGAACCTAAATCCAACGGTTTAAATATCTAAATTTAAACGCTATCATCCACCATTATCTTCAGTGAGTAACTGCCTGACGTATGGGATTGTGGTTGCTCATTGCTGATCAGTCTCATACTACAACGATACGGCCGTCGAGTGCCCTCATGTTTTCAATCGTGATCTGACATTTATTCATTGATAATATCAATATGATGTTTCATTATAATGAGAGTTCAAAATTTTATTTTCACAAAAGCCTAACGAGTTTTTTCAAAAAACATTTTATCATGTTATCAGGCACCTTACAGTTAAAAGTTAATGATTCAACTATCATTTTATATCATGCTTGATAGAATGCACACAGTTATTTTAACTACCAACTAATAATCTGACGTTTACTTAGGTCTGGTATCATAAATGTTTACCATTTTTTCTTATTTATGAAACACTGAAGTGTTAAAATGGCATGACTAATGTGTTTTGGACATTTCTGTGAACCAAACGTTGAAGAATCTAATAAAGTATTTGAACGTGAGAATGAATATATTCAAATACAATATTTACCTAACGAGTCAAGTAATTTCATTTGATACCTAATAAATTCGCTATAGATCTAGATAATTTAATGTTCAGTATCGGCAAAGTTTATCCTAAAGCTTAACTAAACTAGTACTTTTTTAGAGAGCTGAACTTGAAAACTGTATTCAAACGCTTGACAATATATCCATAAATGATCAACTCCCAGTTTAAAGAAATCATAATAATAGTTAATCTTGATGAAAATCGTTTTTTTAGCGGGTTAGGTTTCTACGAGACGGGGTATCTAACCCCATGCCCAACCCTCCTCCTTTATCTGGGCTTGAGACCGGCAGTAGCTCTCAGAGGGACTACAGGCGGAGTTCAAGACAGTTCTACTCTATGGGGCGGAAACCTGGAGAACTAAGAAAGCCATCATCTAGTAAATACAGGTGTTTATTAACAGTTGTCTACGCAAAATCCTTCGGATCCGTTGGCCGGACACTACTAGCAACAACCGACTGTGGGGAAGAACAAACCAGATCCCAGCGGAGGAAGAAATCAGGAAGAAGCGCTGGAAGTGGATAGGACACACATTGAGGAAAGCACCCAACTGCATCACAAGACAAGCCCTCACATTGGATTCTAAAGGCCAAAGGAAAAGAGGAAGACCAAAGAACAATTACGCTGGGAAATGGAGATAGACATGAGAATAGTGAACAAGAATTGGATGGAATTAGAAAAGGAGGCTCAGAACAGAGTGGGTTGGAGAATGCTGGTCGGCGGCCTATGCTCCATTAGAAGTAACAGGCGTAAGTAAGTAAGTTGATGAAAATCACTTGATCAACTTTTTTCAAAACTGCAGTTTCCCTTACTGCCTACTTTTATTCTTCATTACATATAAACTAGACGTAATCTTTTGGTTCATTCTAATCATTCAAATGGTTTCAAATACTTCACTGAAGATAATTCAATTACTGCATTATCTATGAGTAATGTGATTTTTCTGTATAAAACGAGAAACATTTTATTCAATAATTAAAGACTTTCGTTTAATATGATGTAAATTCAGTACATTGAAACTTTCATGACAACATTTGTTAATGTGTATATTTTACATCAAAACAAAAATAAAACTTTATCCTTGATTACAATTAATCCTTACATAACAGATCTGTTTGCTTAGAAACATCAACTCTGTACAGATGAAATAAAATATTCATTTATTAAATTATAAATAGACACTAATATAAAGTTTTTCTTTCATTCTATATGATACTGTTTCATTCATTGTTTTCATTCTTAGTGTTATGATTTGGCTTCACAAATAGTTGATTCTTATGTGATAATATTCAATAGAACTGAAGCATTGGATACTTGTATGGTGGGTATGGTATTTTCTGATGATGATGATTATTGAACAATTTCAGTTAGTATATACATACAAATTTGATTATTTATTCAATAAAGATAAGTAAATAAGATTTTGGATTGAATGTTATTAGAACATTATAAGGTTACATATTTAAGAAAGTTGTACACTAGTTGTGATGTAACAACCTTTCATCATTGAATTTCCTGAAAAATACACAGCGGTAAATCAATACAACAGTTGCTTTATGGAACCGAAGTAAGTGAACATTTTAAATAGATTATTATGAGTGAATGAAATAAAAGATATAACACTTAACATTAGGTCAGTAGGTTGATTGTAAAAGCTTCATCAAATCATCATGCATCTAACTTTATCTATTACAAAAAAAAAACAGTTGTTAATAACCAAAGAAAAACATGTTTTGCTAAATGTAATACATGCATTGACTTAACGTATGCATCAGTGAACACCAATGAATCTGATAGAATATTAAGACTGTTTGATGAGCCCTCAAAACACAATGGTAAAAAAAGAAAGGAACTGAGCTGCAAATCTTTTCAGTGTTGAAGATCTTTTACCTCCACAATAACACATTGTTTTAATCTAATATATGAAAACGACTCGGTAATCACGCAAGAAATCGTAAAAGGTTCTTCAAAGTTTTACTATAATTTCAAACTCAGGGAATGAAACTCTATTAGAGACACTTACTGCTTTAGTGTTAACAGGGTCCAATGAGTCAAGTTATAGGTTTGTGTTAGGTACATTCACATATAATTCCTACTATCAGTATTTTCATTACTTCTTGTAACACATAGCATACTGCTTAACATAACTTAAGTGAAGGTCCACGTTATTTGAGTGTTATGTTAAGAAATTCATTGGGTTTTGAAATATTTCTCAAAATATACTAAGATAACCTAGAGGACAAGCAAGAATTTGAATCACTAAACAGCCATTTTGCTCTAGTTAGAGATTATTTAATGGTGAACACTGATGACCCATGTGGAGTAGTACATGTACCATTCAGTCATCTTGACAATTGAGACATTTATCGACTACTGAGTGTCAGAGTACTTTTTCGGTGTGCGTTTATAGGCTGTTCCAACCTTGAGAAAAACACTTTAATAGTGTACCTTGGTTTTCAGTTGTTTCGTAGCAGGAGTAAGCCTGTAGTGGAAACTACAGTATACTTACTAAGTTGACATCTTTTAAACATTACCTAAAATTATACTTTAGTTTTTAGTAAATGATATTCACAAAGACAAAACTAAGTATTCAATTCCTATTTAACTTTTCATTCAAATATTTTTTTCTATTTTCTAGCAAGTCAATTTCTGTAGGTGATATGTGTGGCGGATGCACTGAGACCGTTTTACACAAACTGAAAAGATTTGATTTTATAAAGTCTTTAAAAAACATTGGTGGACAAATATTTATCACCATATTTAATAAGTGCCTGTTGTCAATTTATTTCTAATGATTATGAAGCATTTTTGTTCACATGATTTTTAAACTTCAATTATTATTATTTTCACCATCTACCGTGGTATGTGCTACCAACAGATATAAGTAGTATAATCGATAGTGAAATACCCGTCGGTAGAATACTAAGATGATCGAAGAGAAGAGAACGAAAATAGAGAGCAATTAGTGTGGAAAAAACGTTCAGTTTGTTCGTGCTGTGGTATATATCAAGAACTGATATTAGTTAGTCAAGCTATGGAGAGTAGAAACCCTTAAAATTCTGTTTCATTCTCATCAGTGTTTTGTGGCCCGTGATCTGGTTCCAATTTAGATCGTATAAATGATTGCTATCACCTATTCTTGTATATAATCGTCGACTTAAATCACGTTATCCAATAACGGAATTAAATAAGTCAACTAACGAGAATGGGATGTTGAATACATATATTTCATATGTAAAGCGAATGTGATGGAACAGAGCAAAATGACGCGCAGGGAGGATGGCTGGGAAGCCAAATCCATTTCAAGCTAGGCATTACTCAATATTTATAGGCAGACAAAATAAACGACAGACATGTGATGAGTGATGGGACATGAAGTGTACACACATATACGCTCATATAAAAAACAGTCAAGGCTAATAAGCGAATAATTGACAAAGTCAAAATATGACTCAAGTAGAACGAATAGAATGGAATGTCCGGAAACTAGAATAAGATATATTATGGGATAAAACTTATGACTAACACTACAAGTGAACATCCTTCAGCTCACCATGGATCAAACCCACAAAATTTAGGTCTCGCAGAAAGCGGCTAATCATTGGATCATTGAATCTAGAAATGATGATGTATATGTTGAACATCATTTATTTCCTGATATCGCATGACCGCCTTCAGTTGTCTGTGGTGAGTTATTGTCAGATGCTAGACATGGTTACTGAAGTATGTTTGTAATAGAAATTATAAAAGTTTAACAGTTTTCATAATACTCCCTTTACATTTTATCTTGTCATGTAGCCTGAATACTGCTTAATGTTTACTCTAATGTTGATGTTCTTCACGAAATATAGACTAAGCTTTTATTATTTTGGACCACAGGATCGATCAGTCGTTACTTAACTAGAAAATTTGTCTTATATGCTCAGTTAACATTGTGATAATATATATAAATAAAATTTTTGAAGAAATCTGTGTTCTATCGTTTCCTACAAAAAAGTACTCAGATTCAATAGGCAGTTACTCTGTTACGTTTATAGAAATTACAATGAAAGCTAACAGAAGCTGATCATTTACTTAATTAACATTGAAATTTTTAATCACTCAATAATTACTACTAAAATGTTATAAAGTAGGACATTGTTAAATTTACATTTCAACTATGATACACAGGAAGATTGATCTATCTTGTCATAATTTTGAATATCACGTTAAAGAAGACTGATAATGTATGAAGTAAATTACTTAAAATAATATAAAAAAGCAAAAAGCAATGGTAATATTTCTAACTTATTAATACAAAGGGAAAAAATCCTCAAAAATAAGGAAGTATCTAATAGATGTGTCTAAAACTAGGAAAAGTAATAATTAATGTATGTTATGTAAAGTATCTATGCCTAGAACTAAGTCCTTCGTTAAATAATCTGAGATAGATTTTAGAAGACTTATAAAATGTCCCTAAACTTTCATCAACCAACATCGTTTTATTGTAACCTACTGCACTATTCAGTGAAACATATAGCCGTCCGACATAGGTGAATATGTATGGTGTCATTACCGTCAAATTTATTTCGCACTCACACATTTCAAATAATCAAGTTTTCCTACCCTCTCTTGCTACAACTAAGTGTTATCTAGTAATTACACCATAAAAACAACTTTCCAAACATAATTATGTCCAGTACTATGGAATCCAAGGAATTCAGTAGTAATCTTTACTATGATGCATCTGATTTACCATTAAGTGTACAAAGTGATGAGCTTGTTTGATAATTTATCTCTCTTGGTACATTTTTTAAACTAGATGATTCGTTTATCCATGCGTTCATACTCGTGTGGAGAAAACCTTTGAGAAATTACGGAAGAAACCAAGACATAAGAGATTGTATTAATGACAACAATAATTGTTTAGCTACAAATAAATGAGTTTCAGTTTTGAGCAAACTGGAATAATACATTTAAATCATCAAGATGAAATTATGTACAGCTCGTGGACCGCTCCATGTGTAAATCCTTCATCATTAAATATCTGTGGAAGCACCCACTGAACACCAGTTTACCGGTAGGCTTTGAGTAAAGAACAAAATTATGCTAAGTATGTTGCTTTTCTGGAAGCTTTTCGGTCACATACATCAAAGAATTTAAAGACGTACTCTTTGCAAATTAGAAAGCTTCGAACATGTGGCTGCCAGTTTACTTCATATTGCACTAAAAATATTTGTTTTTAGCATCAATATTTACATAGGCTAAGATAAACCTATTAAAGGAGGACCGATAACATGTAATTTACAATAATCGTTTGATGGTCAAGTAACTTACAATCAATAGCACTTCTTATTTCTAAAGTAACGTTGAAAGTAGACTGAATTAGTGTTGTGGTGAACGAAAACACAACTGGGGACAATCGAATGTACTTCTTGGTAAAATCTAAGAATCATACAATTAATACTTAATTTGCAAAATGTCAATCAATTGTCTCAAAGTTGACTGTTTCTTCTGCGAAAGTTCAAACAATCCTCTCATTCTTCATTGTTCTTTCGTTTCCACATCAATCATCCTTTGTCTTCAGTTTTTTTGATCTTCTGAACTTCCTGCCGCCATATATTTTAATTTCGATTGATGATACATACTACTTATATCTGTCAACATCAGTACCACACACCACAGTGTTATTTCCTTTAATGTAATTGCATTCTCAGATACTAAGATATTATTCTAATGGTGAGTACAATAAGTACAATCAACTCTTACTGAAGATCTTTGTATATAATGAAGTTAGAAATATGAATTCTCTTTACTTATAATATAAATATTACTCAACTCTTTATCATTTGCCTGTTTACAATGATCACGATACATTTTCTTAACTAAGTAATGGCGAAACTTGATTTAATAATTAAATACCACAAGTTTGAGTAAGTTCATCTCTGTTTACGAACAGAAGTTGACATAGTCAGATCATTATTTTTAAAAAAAATGAACAGATAATGTCATTCATTCGCTTTCAGTTAAGTAAAACAAATTCTCTTCTTCTTGAAATATTTGATAAAACATAAAACAGGATATGATTATATAAGAAATTTCGTCTACATTTGATTAAATAGTTTTATTGCATTTGGGCTCCGAGTTAATTTGAGACATCAATGAAGAAGAATCTATTTGCAAAACCTCAGCTTGGATCAGATTGACAGGCGAAATATTAGGTTTACTTCAATTTTACAAATACATTCTTCCTCTTTGGTATATGATTACACTAAACATACATGATTATGATTATTATTATTATTATACAATGATTTGTGAATAAAGATAACAAAGACAATTACATTTGACTACGAAAGGTTGTAATTACGATAGTCAAATTAAGCCATTCAATAGCTAAGATTACTACTGGTTAATTGGTCTTGAGGTTAGTCAGGGGAGGAGAAGCGATTGAAAATATATTTTGATGGAAAATCTTAAATTCACATGTTTTAACTTTAAACGATACACTTTGCCCTAAATATGGACATTTTTGGAATTATTAATTTGGATAGATAATCGTAGAACTTGAAGAGAATTTATCGAAAAAGATATTTTTCGTTACTGTTTACTTACGTTTGTTACCCCTCGTGAAAGAGCATAGGTCGCCCACCAGCATTGTACATCCAAATCTGTCCTAAACAATCCTTCCAAGTTATTTACAGTTGCTGTTTATCATTTTTACGTCTGCTTCCGATTCTTGATACAGTGTGTTCTTTGGCCTTCCTCTTCTCCATTTCCCTTCAGGATCTCAAGTTAGGGCTTGCATCATGATGCAGTTTGGTGATTTTTGTAATACATGTCTTATCCACTTCCAACGTCTTTTATTGATTTCCTCTTCAGACGGAAGCTGGTTTGGTGTCTCTCACAGAAGACTGTTACTTATGGTATGTGATCATGCGACATGCCGTATCTTGTTTATAAATATTTGTACCTTCTTGATGATGGTTGTGGTAGCTCGTCGCATTTCAGCTTCATATAGTAGATTTGTGTTGACGTTCGTATTGAGGATTGTGACTTCAATATTGTTTAACAGTTGTTTTGAGCTCCATATGTCTTTTGATTATAGGAGTGCTGTCCTTGCTTTGGCAATCCTCACCTTAACGTCTGCATCCGATCCTCCTTACTCATCAATGATGCTGTCCAGGTACGTGGAATAATCCACCTCTTCCAGAGTTTCTCCATCAAATGTGATTGGGTTGGTGTTCTCCATGTTGTATTTGATGATATTGCTTTTTTCTTCGTGTATGTTGAAGCCCACTGATGCAAAGGCTTTTGCTTCACTAATTATCTTCATATGGATTTGTTTGTGTGTATGGTATAGAAGGACCAGGTCATCTTCGAAGTCCAAATCTTCTGATTCATTCCGAGCTATCCATTGTATTTTGTGTTTTCCTCCAAATGTGGAGATCTTCATAATCCAGTCGACCACCAGAAGAAAGAAGAAGAGGAAGGGAGAGAATAAGCAGAATTTTCTGACCCCGTTCCTTACATCTGTAGGCTATCCTCAAAGCACTACTTTATACTTTAATCCATCGTACAAATTCCCGATGATGTCGTTCAAATTATTAACCATTTAATATGCTGGCGATCTTTAAATAATTCTCTTTTATCAGAAGGGGTTTGTGGAGATTTTAGAAATTTTCACAGATTTAAATCATGAGTCTCCACAAACCCCTTCGGATAATAATCATCTGCTCAACAGTGACTGACTTCAAGAGATACTCCTGGAGTTCTAGTGGTAAGCCGTCACCAGTGGAGTACAACCAGGTCTGTTGTGAGATATCAGCTCACTGAAGACAAAGGTATATGGTGGCGCAACTTCGTGGATTGGTTGAAGTTAGACATTAACACCGTTGGATGCCGGCTCAGTGATCTAATGGTTAAGTGCTCGCGCGCAAAGCCAGTAGGTCCTGGGTTCGAGCCCCGCGTGATGCGGGATCGTGGATGCGCACTGATGAGGAATCCCATACTAGGACGAAACGGCCGTCCAGTGCTTCCAGGTTTTCAATGGTGGTCTAGCTTCAACTGACTCATGATATAAATCTGTGAAAATTCTCTTTTATCTTTACAATTTAATCCCTAACATATTTCACAGTGTTCACTAATATACTCAATGAGATTTTTTCATTATTCAGTAATCTTGTTTTTACAAACCTAAACTTATTACTAATTACCATCACTTCACATGATGTTTTGTTGTTGTTTTCTTTTCTATCGAATCTGCAATCTCAAAGGCTAGTAACACTTAGAAGAAAAAAACACAACTGTTCATTATCAAAGAGTTTTACAATTTGTAAAATGATCATACTTTTATGATTTAGTATACAATTAACTATTGTTTAGAATCATAGGCTCAATTAAGTATCATTAACATTATATATATAAAATCTATTATTATTGAAGGTAAAGTACCCGTCAAATGAACCTTGTTCCAGTTTATAAACTTAAAATATGATCTAAACTACTTGACCATTAATAAAATATAATCAAAAAATAAATAAGAATAATATTTAAAGTGATTCATTTATTTTTATCTTACTTTAAATTTATTCGAAATCAAATACAAACAAAAATGTTTAGTTTTTTCATATTAACCATTTTTACAACAGGTAAGCCAAGTATATACTACTTAATAATAATAATAATATTAATCTATTCTAGGTTTAGTTACTTCGATCAAGCAATCTGAGGTAATGTTATTCATTGTATAAAGTTACATTTATGATTATAGGTAGGTACAATAAATAATTCTATTAAGGCAATGAGTTCATTGAATAAACGATAAAAGATTCTTTATATTACAGTCTTCTGCAATTGTATTACGAAATAATATAATTATTAATCCATATAACTCCATTCGATAGAAGTCTACCAGGTTCCAGTATTTCAAGACTACTTAATTATATAATCTATATTGTTAACCGAATTTATAATTCTAATGTAATAACGATATGCATTTTGTTTTATTGCAAATTATTCAATGATTCTATAAGATCCTTTTCACTAAATAGTTAATTAATATTTTTTCAATGGTTGAGATCATGAGTCAACTGAAGCTAGAACACCATGAAAAAACTGGAAACACTGGACAACCGTTTCGTCCCATTGTGGAACTCCTCAGCAGTGAGCATACAAGATCCCTCCTCTCAGTGTGATTCGAATCTCAGTGCTTCCAGGTTTTTCCATGATGGTCTAGCTTTGACTGACTCATGATTTCAACCAGTAAAATTGCTCTAATATCCACAAAACCCCTTCTGATATTATTATTTTTTTACATATATATTCAATTTAGTTGAATTTTGGCTATAAAGATGTAGGTAAGTTGGTTAATTAAATGTTGAATTACTATCGCTATTGTTTTTGTTTAAATAGAACTTTTTAATTAACTGTAAATTAAATGTAAATTTGTATACCATATTTAACTTTGGTGAATTTCTTCAATAGAAGTGAAGACGTTCTATAAAGATTCTCATATGAAATTATATTACGTAACGAGAAAGCTAGACGAAGATAGTACATTTCATCACACTATGTTTTATACTAATAAAAGTCTATATTTGTAGGTATAATAATTAAGTAAATATTAACAACTTACTTCTTTACGCCTGTGACTTTCAATGGAGCATAGGCCGCCGACCAGCATTCTCCAACTCACTCTATCCTGGGCCTTTCTTTCTAGTTCTATCCAATTCTTGTTCATTCTTTTTATGTTTGTCTACATTTCTCGATATAATATGTTCTTTGATCTTTCTTTTCTCCTTTGGCCTTGAGGATTCCATGTGAGGGCTTGCCTTATGATGTAGTTCGGTGCTTTTCTCAATGTGTGTCCTATCCACTTCTATCACTATTTCGTGAGTCCTTCCTCCGCTGGGATCTGATTTGTTCTCTCCCATAATACATTGTTGCTGATAGTATCTACCCAACGGATCTGAAGTATTTTGCATATACATTAACAAGCTTTTATAAAATTATTCAAATTTTGATTTAATGAACAACGTTTTAATGCTTTTCTATTTAGATGAATGAGCATTACAGGGTTCTATAAGTCATTCATAATTCATAATTGAAGTGAAAATACTAAATAATAGCACTTATTGTGGTACATAATATCAAGTTTAATGTTAATCTTTGACAAACTATTCTAATCGAATAAAGTTAAGTAAACTTCTGGCATCTGTTAAACCATATTTTTCATTTGATGCCTATGCAGCTTAGAAATGTCACTGAAGTTTTTGAGATTTTGTAATTAGGGATGTGATATGAAATTCAAGGCAGCAGTTTTTTTGTACGTGGAATATATTTACATCTGAGTCATTCAAACTGTGATTTACACTCAGTATATATCATTTTAGTTGGTTTAGTGTACGTGGGTTCTAGGTTATCAAAGCCACCGACCTATTGAACATCAATGTAGTTTAACAGTCACCATAGACATCACTTTTGTTTTTAAGGTTCTATAGAACTAAAACCTTAAAAAGAAGAAACATGTGTGCAACGATAATCGCTAGCTATAGCATGGTTAATATAGGATTGGAATATTTGTTTTATTTATAACCAGAAAGCTACTCAATTCATTCTTAAGCATCAAAGCTGACGAGAAAAAAATTCACTTCAGTTTATAATAAACTAAGAATAAGTAATATTTCAGAATTTGCACATTATCAATGAACTTTTTAAAGTTACCGACAAACTATCATTGATAATATACAATTGTCACTAGTAGTGAACATGAAATGTTTTATAATGACTGAATCTATAGAAGTTCAATAGAAAGTTACATATTCCATTATTCCAGTTAGAAACATTAAAGGATTTAATCAGTAATTATATTAGTGAACTACTTACTTAACGTATATACAAACAAAAACTATTTTACATCTATCTACAACTCTATAGCATGCAACCTATTGGAGTTGGCACAAGAGAAAAGTTTACAAATTATGAAAGAAGAACAATTCACCAAGAATATCATTGAATATATATTGTCAATAACATGTGAAAATATGAATGATTTGAATAAAAAACTTCAGGTATGTCAATGATTTGATTTTATTTCTTTCAATTATTGATTGAAGAAACATTGGTATACTTGTAATCAGTTGCTAAAATTAATGAGAACAATAGAGTTTACAGTGTGTATCGCCTCGATATTGCACATATGCCAATAACAGACTGATCAATTGTAGTCTTAAACCTCAATAGAAAGATACAAGCAAAACGATATCAAGTAAATTTAAATTCACCACATTGTACAAGCAAATGGCTATCAGGACTTAGTAGCTGAGTGGATAACGCGATGGTGTTTGAAGCGAATGTTTCTGGGTTCGAGTCCCGGATTAAACATCGACTCTGAGATGCAGGTACATACACCTGACGAGTCCGAACTAGGGCGAAACGCACGTCCTAAATTTCATTGCTACCCACTACCTACCCTTATTAGTTAGATATATCCAAATATTTATAAGACATTATAATATGCTCATAAAATCGTACACGAACTACAGTCAACTTATAATCTTTCTTATTAAGTACACTGCTTTGGTGCAGTTGAATATTGATCAAAAAATTTGTTTATCAACCGATAAATCCCATGTTTGAATGTTATTTCATTTACTTTAGCTTAGTTGACCGAGTAACGTCAGTAGATACAACAGAATAGATGTTATCGGTAAAAGGTTGTGAAGAGTGTTTTATTTTCTTGAAGTTACGAACTGATCTTGTTATATCACGATTATTGTGAAATACAATTGCCGAATTTTGATACGCTTACTTATAAGACTAAATTAATGACGCATACACTAGTACCAACAACCTAGAATTCCGGTTGATCCTTTATCCGTCTAGACATACCTGTTAGGTTCGGAAGGCCGATCTTGACCTCCATGACACGAAGCATATATTTCAGACAAACTGGGTTTATATACATACAAATTACACCACATAACACCAAAAAAAATAGGAAATAACATTGGGTGCCAACTCAACGGTCTAGAAGTTAACTGTTCGAGCCTGATATCGAAGATCCTGGATTCGACCCCCAACACTTGGAGTTGTGGTTGAAGTCTTGTGAGGAATCCCATACTGAGATGAAACGGCCGTGCAGTGCTTCTAAGTTTTTGGTTGTGATTTATATTAGATTAGTTCATGATATCTGTGAAATACGTCAAATGTCATTTTAGGCCGGATGCAAGAATTGTTGTATCTTCCCATTGTTATTTAGGACTGCAATTGATCAGTCTCATGTTGGCATATGTACATCCTGTACCGATCGCCTCGATATATCCTTAAGTCACAAGCTTTTTAAGCAAAGATAGATAATGGTTAGCAGTGGAAATTACGGGTAAAACAACACCAAGTAAATTTAAACTTCACCTCATTGCACTAGCAGGTGGCTATCAGGACACCGTAGCTAAGTGAATAACGTGATGGCGTTTGAAGCCAATGGTACTAGGTTCGAGTTTCAGAGTGAACATAAACTCTGTGATGCAAGTTTATCCAGCTGACGAGTCCCAAATGGGACGAAACGCGGGTCCTGGATTCCACTGCTAGCCATTATCCATCTTCGTTTAATAGAAGATTGTTTATGATATGAATTATGCTAAATTATCTTCATATTTATTAGAATTCAAGTTATTCATAAGTGATGTAACTCATAAAATATGTATTCATTACTTCACAAGAATTTGAACTCATTCTTTCTTAAAACTGGATCCAATTTTAAATATCTATTTTTTATTTATTAAATCCAGCAGCAGTAATATTAATGTTACTTACTTACTTACGCCTGTTACTCCCAATGGAGCATAGGCCGCCGACCAGCATTCTCCAACCCACTCTGTCCTGGGCCTCCTTTTCTAATTCCATCCAATTCTTGTTCATCTTTTTCATGTCTATTTCCATTTCTCGGCGAAATTGTTCTTTGGACTTCCTCTTTTCCTTTGGCCTTGAGGATTCCATGTGAGGGCTTGTCTTGTGATGCAGTTGGGTGCTTTCCTCAATGTGTGTCTTATCCACTTCCAGCGCTTCTTTCAGATTTCTTCCTCCGCTGGGATCTGGTTTGTTCTCTCCCACAGTACGTTGTTGCTAATAGTGTCCGGACAACGGATCTGAAGTATTTTGCGTAGACAACTGTTAATAAACACCTGTATCTTCTGGATGATGGCTTTCGTAGTTCTCCAGGTTTCCGCCCCATACAGTAGAACTGTCTTGACATTTGTATTGAAAATCCTGACCTTGGTGTTGGTTGACAGTTGCTTTGAGTTCCAGATGTTCCTCAGTTGTAAATATGCTGCTCTTGCTTTGCCGATCCGCGCCTTCACATCTGCATCAGATCCACCATGTTCATCAATGATGCTACCCAAATATGTAAAGGTTTTTACATCTTCCAAATCTTCACCGTCAATTGTGATTGGATCGGTGCATGCTGTGTTGTATCGGAGAACCTTGCTCTTCCCTTTGTGTATATTGAGACCTACTGCTGCTGAGGCTGCTGCTACACTGTTCGTCTTCTCCTGCATTTGTTGTTGCGTTTGGGATAGAAGGGCCAGATCATCTGCGAAATCCAGGTCGTCCAACTGCATCCTAGATGTCCATTGTACCCCGTGTTTCCCTTCAGATGTTGACGTCTTCATGATCCAGTCGATCACCAGGAGAAAGAGAAAGGGTGAGAATGAGCAACCTTGCCTAACACCGGTCTTCACTTCGAACGACTTTGTCAACTGTCCTCCATGCACGATTTTGCAGTGTAATCCATCATATGAACTCTGTATGATATTGACTATCTTTTGAGGCACGCCGTAGTGTCGAAGAAGCTTCCATAGTGTTGTTCTGTCCACTCTATCAAATGCCTTTTCGTAGTCAATGAAGTTGATGTAGAGTGATGAATTCCATTCAATTGATTGTTCCACAATGATCCGTAGAGTTATGACTTGGTCTGTACACGATCTATCCGCAAGGAATCCTGCCTGTTGGTCACGAAGTTGGGCGTCTACACAGTCCTTCATTCTGTTTAACAATACATTGTTGAAGACTTTTCCCGGTATTGAGAGAAGAGTGATGCCCCTGTAGTTATCACACTTGCTGAGATCGCCTTTCTTCGGTATTTTGATCAGAAGTTCTTCTTTCCAGTCAGTTGGTACTTGTTCCTCATCCCAAATCTTATTGAAGAGAATGTGGAGTATCCTTACAGTTGCCGCTACGTCTGCTTTCAGTGCCTCTGATGGAATGTTGTCTGGTCCTGCTGCTTTGCCACTCATGATTTGTCTGATGGCCATGCTGATTTCTTCAATTGTTGGTGGACCAACATTGATTGAGAGGTCCGTGGGTGCTGCTTCGATGTTGGGTGGGTTCAGTGGAGCTGGTCGATTCAAGAGTTCTTTGAATTGTTCTACCCACCTGTTTCGTTGTTCTTCAGTGTTGGTGGTTGCCTCGCCTTCCTTGCTTTTTACTGGTCGTTCTGATTTGCTGCGATTTCCAGAGAGTTTCTTTGTCGTGTCATACAATTGTCTCATGTTCCCTTCTCTTGCAGCCTTTATCGCCGTCGTTGCTAAGTCTTCCACATATTTACGTTTGTTGATTCTGATGCTCCTCTTCATTTGTTTGTTTACTTCTGTGTATTCAGCTTGTGCCTTGGCTTTTTCTGCTCTTGTTCGACTGGTATTGATTGCTGCCTTCTTGTTCCTTCTTTCTTGAATATTATCCAGTGTATCAACAGTGATCCATTCCTTGTGACGGTGCTTCTTGTGACCCAGGACCTCATGACATGTTGAAGTGATTGCCTCTTTGATCCCCTTCCAGTTGCTCTCCACAGTAGTTCCTTCTCCATTGAGTAGATCATGAAAGGCCTGGAACTTATTGCTGAGGACTATCTTGAATTTGTTGAGTTTGTTAGTATCCTGAAGAAAGGTCGTATTGAACTTTTGTGATATTGTTCGCCCCATTGTCCAGTGCTTCCTGAGTTTCAATTTCATCTTGACGACCAGCAAGTGATGATCTGATGCTATATCAGCTCCTCTCTTGATTCTCACGTCCTCTATAGTCCTCCTGAACGTTTTGTTGATGCAAATATGGTCGATTTGGTTTTGCATGGTGCGATCCGGTGAAGTCCATGTGGTTTTGTGAATGCGTTTATGTGGGAATATGGTGCCACCTATGACCAGTTTATTGAAGGTACATAGGTTTGCAAATCTCTCACCATTTTCGTTTCTTTCTCTCAGTCTATGTCGTCCCATGAAGTCTTCATATCCAGTGTTGTCCGTTACAACCTTGGCGTTGAAATCTCCCATCAGAATGGTCAGGTCCTTTGTTTGGCACTTCTCGACGATTGACTGCAGCCTATTGTAGAATTGCTCTTTAGCGTCTTCATTGTAGTCGTTGGTAGGCGCATTGCATTCGATGATATTCATTGTGATGCCCTCCTTTTTTGTTTTGAACGAGGCTTTGATGATCCTTGGTCCATGAGATTCACATCCTATAAGCGCATTTCGCGCTTGTTTGGACAGCATCAGTGCAACTCCTTGTGTATGTGGGGCATTTTCTTCTTCATGGCCGGAGTATAACTGAAGCTCTCCTGAAGTTAGTCGTTGTTGTCCAACTTGCGTCCAATGTGTTTCACTGATCCCAAGCACCTCTAGGTTGTATTTTCTCATTTCTGCAGCAATTCGGAAGGCTCTCTCGGTGTCCCACATTGTACGAACATTCCATGTACCTAAATAAATGGTCGCTCTGGTTGTCAGAAGGGGCATCGGCCTCGTAACTTCCGAAGGAATTCGGCTTTCATCATGAGGCGTCATAGTTCTTCCAAATGAAGACCTTCTGACTCCCAGGGCAGAGGTTAAAAGATTTGAATAATTTTTTCTGGTTAGAGTTTTTTTAGCGAGTTAGTTTTTTACGGGATGGGGACGCTAACCCCATACCCAACCCTCCTCCTTTATCTGGGCTTGGGACCGGCAGTAGCCCCCGAAGGGACTCCAGGCGGAGTTATATATTAATCTAGATCTAATGAATCAAATAATATTCAAGTTCGTAACTGATTTTATTAAAACTAAAACTATCAGTATAGGGGTTGCCGAGATTATTACGTTTTTGATTGAGATCATGAATCGATTGATGTTAGACCACCATCAAAAACCTGAAAGCACTGAACGGCTGTTTCGTTCGATTTTGGGACTCCTCAGCAATGTGCATCCACGATCCCGCTCACGGGATTCGAACCCATGGCCTTCAGTCTGGCGTGAGAAAGCTTATCTTACTGGACCACTGGGCCGGAACCCAATCATCCTAGTGTCTCACCTCAACCGATCCACGAAATTGTGCGACCATCTTCCATTGTAATGGTGTAGATACCTGTCTTCAACCGACATGGATGCGCACTGCTGAGGAGTCCCACAATGGGACGAAAAGGCCGTCCAGCGCTTCCAGGTTTTCAATGGTGGTTGAACATCAATCGATTCATGATCTCAATCAAAATCTCAAACTAGTTCGTAAACAAGCAATACAATAGGTAATACTTACTGAAACAATATTTACTTTAGTCACTGTTCAAATTTATGTTTCTAATGGATAAATAACTGCAAACAGCATTATCAATGAATGATTTTCCCACCATTAATTCGTTTTATGAATTTCACTATAATCAGAGCAACAACTGAATTAGAATGTTACAGGTTGATTTGATTTCATGGTTTCTTCGTTCTTTTTTCTTACGTACAAATGTGTTTGTATAACATAATATTACATAATAGAATAATAGAATGATAATGGTTACCACTATTAAAGGTGTTTAAAAAAATATATGAATAAACCACACGTACATACATACGATTGAAGATGACAACAGATAAAATGAATAGTAGTGAATTAATAATGTCAACTATCTATTATTATACAATACGCTTATAGGCAGCTAAAGAGAAATGATAAAATAAAATAAATTCATATTATTGTGCTCTAACAGTTATTAAAACTATTCCTACCGAACAGTTAATTAGAGAGCACTGACTTATCGATCGTACCAAGGATGCGTAAAATACGTGCGAGCAGCCTAGAGTCCTGATTGGCCCTGCTTCCTGCTTAGCCCAGTCAGTTAAGTCCAGAACACAAGTCTCAGCCTCTGCGATATGAATCATTATGTTTCAAACATCCCGAGTTTATATACCAATCAAACAGACCACAACGTACCAACAAAATATGAAACAACATTTGTACATGAATTAGCCAAATGTGGCTGTGAATGTGGGAGGTAGTAATTAATATACTGGGTATAACTCAAGAATGGTAAGACGTATAATACTACTTTCTGGGTCAAAATAAAGCTTATAATAAGAGTAATATGATATGCATAGTTTAGTTACTTAGTAATTATACGATAAAAAAATAAGTATAGTATTGGTTCATAAAAGGATCCCAAGTTACTATTCATTATGTTTCTCGGGTCCTAACAAGCGTCAATTTTGTTCTCATTTGTTTGGTTTATACAATAAACAATAGGGTTAATAAGTTTCATTATTTAATGGATTATTGAATGAAGTTTCTTACAATATTAGTTACATATTTATCTACAGATGTGAAAAAAAACCTGTTTTAGTAAAATTCTCTTATGAATGTTCATGTTATGCAGAATGACTGACTACTTAATTATTCCCGTTATTCCTCGTAGAGGAGTGAAGGCCAATCACCAGTATTCTCCATCCATCTTTGTCCTGGACAAACGTTTTCAGTTCTTTCCAGTTGTTATTCATCATTTTCATGTCCGCTTCCTATTCTCGATGTAGTGTGTAGTTTGGCCTTACACTTCTCCGTTTCCCTTCAGGATTCCAAATTAGCGCTTGCCTCATGATTCAGTTTGATAATTTCCGAAATGTATGTCTTATCCACTTCCAATATCTTTTCCTAATTTCCTCTTCGGACAGAAGATAGTCTGTTCTCTCCCATAGTAGGCCATCGCTCATAGTGTCTGGTCAACAGACATTAAATATCTTTCGTAGATAATTGTTTATAAATACTTGTACATTTTTCATGATGGCTGTGATAGATGTCCAATTTTCAACTCCATTCAGTAGAGCTGTTTTGACGTTCATATTGAAGATTGTGACTTGGATATTGATTGACAGATTCGGTCGATAGGCGGAGTTCAAGAATAACTGGTAGTAATAACTAATTTATACATAATATATTATATTAAAAATCATTTAACAAAATATTGAATATTTTATTTACGTTTTCTAATGGTGTTTATTTGTTTGTTTTTATTCAAGTGCAAACATTCAATGGTTAGTGAAACAAAAACACTCCTAAAAGATTTCATTGAATTCGTTGAATCCAATCGTTTCAAAACAGTAAGTTGTGTAAAATATTTTAAATTTGATTTATTGTTTATTAGAACAACGTAATGCTTATTTTGTGTGCTTTAATGAAAAATGTTAATGTAGCCAATTTTTACCTTTTTTAGGTAGTGAATTGGTGTCAATCCACATTGGAAACACCTCAACATGGTAATTCCAGCTTTTGTAAGTTGATAGCAATATAACATACTTATTAGTATAGAGGTCGTGGAGATTAATAATTTTTTAATCGAGATCATGTACCGATTGATGTTATATGTGACCAGTGCAGCTAATCTTTGTCGGGTAGACACAGGTACAGTACAATGGAAGATGGTTGCGTGATTTCGTGGATTGGTTGACATTAATACCGCTAGATGAAGGCTCAGTGGTCCAGTAGGTTAAGCGTTCTCACGCCAGACTGAAAGCCATGGGTTTGAATCCCTTGAGTGGGATCATGGATGCACACTGCTGAGGAGTCCCACAGTCGAACGAAACAGCCGTTTAGTGCTTTCAGGTTTTTAATGGTGGTCTAACATAAATCGATTCATGATCTCAATTAATAACATAATTAGAATGTTTCATTTATCTTCATATATAGTTCATAAAAAATGAATTTCATCAACGTTGTATAACAACAATAGGTAGAAAAACAAAAAACATGGATAACTGGTATTCTAATGTTATTTTGAAATTCGTATAAAAACAAAGAGAATTCAAGGAAGTAAATTTTCTTTTCTTTTCGGAAAAATCACTTACTTAGGCTGCACATTCGTATCTATAGATATATAGAAAATATTTGTCTATAGGAGGGTAGAAAAGATTACATCATAAATTGATTCGAGACTGTTATTATCAGATAAGGTTACCTAATAATCAAGGGGTTCGGAAAGAATATAAGGATGGAAATAATTTATTGGTCGTTTAAATGTCCAATCGACAGATATGAAGAAAAACAACAAATATAAAATTTATAATAATAAAAACTGAATATTAATCAAGAAAACTTGTTCAAAAGTAATAATAATTTTAACAGCTGGATTCATGAGTCAATTGAAGCTAGACAACCATGGAAAACCTGGATGCACTCGACGGCGGTTTCGTTCTATCGTAATACTCCTCAGTGGTGCGCTTCAGTTGACTTATGAATTCAACTATTAAAATTACTGTAATATCCACAAAATTCCTCTCTGATTATAATAATAACTGATTATTGTTTACAATTACAAAACACTACTTTAAAAAAACCAGTAGTATTAATAAAAATAAAAACGGAAAAATGAAAAAAAAACGAAACAAACTACAATAGGGAATTAAGACCAAAGAAGGATGAGAGCTTGGACCTATCGTTTTCGCATTCAAAGTTCGCGAAATTCGTATACATTGATCATTTAACAAGTCCCCTCCAAAAATCGAATTTACAACGATATCTCAATCTAAACTCTGCTATTAGTTCATCAGATAAATTATGATCATGTCTGTAACTCATTACCACAATATACATGTATACTGATATTTATTTCAGTGTGTTCAACATGTGAAATGGCTGTATCATATTTGAAAACGTTCAGCAAATCTGAAGAAGCAAAATCACTTGTACATCAAGTTCTTGATAAAATTTGTTCATTAACTGGATCTTTTCAAGTTCAGGTGAACTGATTTGTATTTGTATGATTTCAATCTATGTATATATAATACTTATTATTGACTGTTAGATTTATTTCCAGAGATAGTTTACCTACTAAATAACTTACGCCTGTTACTCTTCGTTAAGGAGCATAGGCCGCTCACCAGCATTCTTCATCCAACTTTGTCCTGGGCAATCCTTTCCAGCTTCTTCCAGATATTTTTATACAAAATATATGTTACACTATGATGTAAAATAATTATTAGGTTATTAACAGAATAAATCAAGTACTCATTCGGCTAACTTTAAACACCATGACTTCGAAATCTATTTCATATCTGTGTTACATCTATTTTAAGCACTTGTGCATGGTTGACTTATTTAGTTTGATTGTAAGGTATACGTGTTGAAAATTTCCGTTGAACCAATTACATGATTTATTTTGTTCATTAATATACACCCTCCTGTGCTAATTTTGATTCATTTATTTAAATAAAAATTGCTTGATATTTGATTGTTATTTGACGAATCTGCTAACACTCGGATACGATGCAATTTAAGGTTGTCTGTTTATCAGTATGGGGTTGTGGAGGTTATAAAGTTTTTGATTGAGATTGTGAATCGATTGGTGTTAGACCATCATGGAAAACTTGGAAGCACTGGACGACCGTTTCATCCTATTATGAGACTCCTCAGCAGTGCGTATCTACGGCACTGGTCACGTGATTCGAAACTAGGATCGTTGGTCTCGCAAATTAACGCTTAACTCCGTGGATTGGTTGAGGTTATAAATAAACACCATTGGATCTTGACTCAGTAATTGTCTTTAATTTTCAAAATATATACTTATATTTCTCTTGTTATTGTTTGAAATCCCAGTGTGGCTTTTTTGAAAGGAACTAATGATAATACTTGTCTTCTTTAATAACATGAGTTTGATTGCAGGAAATAGATCTAAGAACATTATATACTACAAAAATGTGAAAAAAACATCCCCACTGTATGATCTCTAACTTGTAAATGAATAGGAAATATGTTCAAAAGTCTTAAACTATAACCAGTCATCATTCAAATTCATTAACAAATGTTCATGATTTACTTTATTCTCATGACATCTCTTTTCATTACAGAAAGTATTTGATGTATGAATTCAAAAAAAACATCAATATTTTTTCATGGAAATAATCAGGAAAGAGAGTATATTAACCACAGTGATTGTATTTTAAGAACCACTTAATGATTTAACTTGCAATAGTTTACAAATATTTACCAAAAATTAGTAAATACATTCAGTTTGAAAATAAAATAAAGTAAAATCCAAAAAATTTATGCTGATTCATAATTAGATCATCATTCCAACTGTTTAGTATATCATGAATGGATTCATGTTAGACCATCATTGAAAACTTGATGGTCTAACATTCATTCATTGGTTCATGATATCAACTGGAATTCAACAAACTCCACAACCCTATACTGTTAAATGTATCTTCGAATTGTTAGCAGTATAAGAAAAATTCAAAGACAAAGACTGCATTTACATAGTTCACATCATACTATCATCTAATATATTCAAATCCCATTAATTGACATTTCTAATTATTCAAAGATGAAACAGAAAGACATTTCATTTTTTTTTGCGTTTTATGAACTGAGAACAAATTCAAATCAAATCTGTAATTCGACTAATTGATCACTTTACTTATCGTAATTAAGCTGATCATTTTGCTGATTGGCTTTTATGGTCACTTTCGTTTAAAGTTAACACTAGCAGTCATGGAGAGTAAATTGATTTCAAATATAAAACTTTACGAAACATCAGTTTATCGCTCATTCCAAGATGAAAGAAACACATGAAACCTTGTAAAACAAAAAAAAGTACTTAGTAACAAAAAACAACTCCATAGTTTCAAATATTTCACTGACATTCAATGTATGATTAAAGTGAAACTGCTTAATATTTTAATACTTCACCATTTTATATTATTTAGGAATGAAAGTATTAAATGAACACAGATATCTAATTGTCTTTCTATTAGTGTAGCTTAGGAAGTTTAGGTTTGTCTATTCTAATTTATTATCTGAAGCAAAAGCTTTATTATTGATTAAATAGCATAATAAAATATTCGCGATCTGTATTTTTTTTCTTCTTATATTTCAGTGCTCATTTCTAGGAGGAATGTTCATTGACAAATACATTGATACAATCTCTAGCATGGATCCAGATTTGGCTTGTATGGTAATTTATTATTTTTTTTAAAAATAATATGAAAACATTGAACATTTTTTTTACTTGAACACAAATCTTAGTTAAATCATATTTAAAAAGAATGAAAAACTATTTTACACACTTTTACAAGAATTTCAATCACTATGAGTAATTAGCGTTTTTTATATCTACAGATGGATAGTTTTTCTGAATGATACATAACTAACACTGAGGTATCATAAATGATTTTATTGCTCATTATATATATATATATATATATATATATATATATATATATATATATATATATATATATATATATATATATATATATATATATAATTATATTCGTACTATTCCGTTTGAATAAGTACCTACAGCCAACATATAAACATGATATTAGATCACATAAACCCTGTAGGGTTATGATAATTGCTGCTTATCCGCTATAGCACTATCATTACTAATAGTGAATAGGGTAATATGATATTTTACCATTAAATATTTTTTTTGTTTTATTTAATAAAAGAATGTCAGTAATTATAAATACTGATTGTACTAAATTCTAATATCTATAGATTATATGTTACCATAATAAGTATCATTCTGGTTAGTTTGACATTTTTATGAACGATTTTTGAGAAAGAACTGTAGGATAAATAGGTATATGTTAAGGAAGAAACAGTGATTTCCAGAAATTCTGACTGTTTATTGTCTGTTATGACGAAACGATAATTTTAGATCTTCATAATCTAACATATTGAAATGTAACTACAACAGACATTTATTATTCATAAGCGACAACCGAAGCAAGTAATTTATTCAGTATTGATGGTGTGTTGTGTGCTACTTATGTTGACAGATAAAAGTAGTATATAACATTAAATCGAAAGTGGAATGCTTAACAGTAGAAGGTTAAAAAGATTGAATAGAACAGTACGGAAACAGAGAGTGGTTGGTATGGAAACGTAGGGATAACAAAGTCTAGGACAATTGATGAACAATTTGCAAATGAATTATTGAACATATAAACAAATAACTCGGTAACTCTTTGTTCAAATACATTTGGTTGTCCCGTTTACGTCCCCGTTCACTACGATAGTTTACTGAAACAAATTCGTGCAAAACGAAACAAATACTCAGTTGGGTGAATAACTTTTCATTTTGCAGACTTTCATTCCTTTACTTCAACGTAGTATTTTTTTTACAACTTTTGAGTATCAAACTGATTACGTAACATTTACTGATTTCATTATATATGTCAGTCAATTTGTGATCGTTGATGTCAACTTTAACTATTTGCAATGAGTCTTAAATGTAAATTTATGCTTTGTTTCCTTAAATTTTCATTTTGTTTTCAGACAATGCACATGTGTCTATGAAAACAGATACGGTCAACTTAAATGTAAGCGATACACTTTTAGTATCGAACATTCTCGTAATATTTCTATGATAAATGATAAACTATAGAAAAACAACCAAATTTAAACTAGACGTTTATTGAATACATCAAATATGAAACTTTATGAAGCAAGAATATAAGTAATAAGCTTAAATCCTTTATTTCGTTTAATTGAGATTTGAATGGTCTCATATAAAATGTTTTACATGAATAGTTGTAAATATGTGAAATAAACACTACATGAAGTCGGGAACTAAGTACACAGAAGAGCGATCACTTGGTAGTTAAGGTGTTTGATTTCCAAGCACTAAATAACAGGTTTGAACCTATCTTTATCACTTCAGTTTGGGTAATCACTAACCTTCGTGCTTAGAGTGTGATTAGAAGTCATATAGATTAATCTATGCCTACTAAATATTTGGGTTGTCATACTATTCTTCATACAATCTTGATAATTAGATTTTCAGTAATTTCAACTTCTTGTTCATAGGTTCAATTTGGTAGAATTATAATATACTTACACGGTTTCATCTGATAGTCTTACATTATATGTGACTGCTTTTTAATTCTGCAAGTAACTATGTGACATAGAGTCTTCATTGTTTAATCTCAGTTCATTAAAACTGAAATGAAAGTTTCGAATTCAAACAATTCACATAACAATCTCACAATCTTCAAATACTTATTATTGGCCGAATGACGGCAATGAAGGTTTCAATTCTTAAGCTGTTGCTATCTGATCTAATATAATAAACAATCCCCTTCCCGTTAACTATTAGGTATTTGAATCTGAATAAAATGCTTATCCTTAATCTAACTAATGTTTGGTCATTTCAATAGAAAATAAAGCATACAACTTCCTTTCTTATCAATAAATCAATCCCTCAAATCCCTCGAGCGGAATCATGGATGCGCACTGCTCAGGAGTCCTACAGTAGGACGAAACAGCCGTCTAGGGCTTCCAGGTTTTCAATGATGGTCTAGCATCCATAGGTTCATAATCTCAATCATAAAAAAACACTTACTAATTCTTTACTTAAAAAAACGTTTTTTGCAAATTTTTCATTTTCAGATGTAAAAGAAGATTTCGGTTTAATTGAAATCGATTTTATTACTAAAATTAATTACTTTATGTTTGTAGATTTAATACATCATTTAAACAAAGTTTTGAAAAATACTTTTACCATATATTTATATATATGAAGTATTAAAATAAATCATAAAAACATTATTGGTTAAATGAACAGTAAGTGAAACATTCTGTCTTCATTACTTTATACAAATATTCGTCAAGATTAGAACGAATAGTTTGACAGTAATTGAGCGCCGAGTATAGAGAAGTCATTATATGTGAAAATTATATTTGAAATATTCTTAGCGATTGAAATTTAACTCATTCTAACGTTTCGTACAGCTAACTTGTCTGGACTTCTTCAGGGTAATAATCAAGATCAAAATTATCGAAGAAATATATAGCTTTTTAACAATCAGGATTATACTGTGTTAAACCAATCATACTTGAATGATTGGATAAACTGAGTCAGTTAACTAGAAATCATGTGAAGAAATCAACTACATGAAAATACTTAACTGAGTAACACTCACACACATACCGTTCAATCCAAACGCCATCGCATTATCCACTTAGCTTGTGAATTAAGTCGATATCGAGACAAACCGTACAATATGCACATATGCCAATAAAAGACTGATCAATTACAGTCCTAAACAACAATAGGAAGATTCAAATAAACATTACTAAGTGAAATTAAACGTCACCTCATTGTACAAACGAGTGGCTATCAGGACTCAGTAGCTAAATGGATAAAGAAATAACGTTTGAAGCAAACGGTAATGGATTCGAATCCTCGGAGTGAACATCAACTCTGAGATAGAGGTACATCCAGCTAACGAGTTACTAAATGGGACAAAACGTGCGTTTTGGATTCCACTGCTATCCATTATCCACCTTTGCATTTAATGCTTGTGAATTAAGGCTATATCAAAGCAATACGCACAGTATGTACATGTGTCAATAAAAGATTGATCAATTGCAGTCCGAAACATCACTGAGAAGATTCAAACAAACATTACCAATTGAATGAACAATATTGTTTTTTAACTAAATTCTTATCATCATGACATTTCCAGAGACTATGGTAACAATAAACTACATTATATCAATGAAATTACTAAGTAAAAATTTTTTTAAAAATTGTTACGATGACAACAGTGGAATTGTTGTGACAATAATATTAATAATAATAAAGCCTTGAATCAGTGTTTCAAATTAGGAAGTAGTTCAGAAAACTAATAGTATTCACTATATATTACTAAAATTACATAATAAGGAGTGTTGAAATTACTAGATAGTGGAGAATATTTTAGAGAAAGGGTGAAGGAAAATAAGCAAACAAAAGACGTCCAGAATAAAAAAATAATAATAATAAGAAGAAGAAGCAAAATCTTTAGCTGGACTTTATTTAGAAAAAGAAGAGATAAGAATGCTACAAATTAGTTATGATTATAAATACTTAAGAGTTATTCAATAACTCATTGGTTAAGCTGTCTGGCTGCATGCACGATATGGCTTTCTTTATAGGAGTACCTGAATTCATAGATACATATGGTTGTGGTAAACTATACTCTCTTAATAAATGACCATAGAGATTTCGGAGCTTTTATTTATCATCACATTTTGCACTATCATTCATAAAACTCAAAATCATTCTTCCTGATAATTTAAGATCAGCGACGAGAACTTTTGAAAGACGGTATGGATAATAATAATCGAACTATGTTTCATAAATTAATTGCAGTCGGAAATGTGAACATTTAAATTTTGAATATTCGAATTACGGCAATCTCACACTGTTAGCGTACATTACTGTCAGAATGATATTATTATGATTTTAAAGAGTTTCAACATTCTAGAAAGAAACCTTTTTTCTACTTCTATCTGGTCAATAAACGATATCAGCTTAAAATGGAAATAATCGCTTATTTAAGATGAATTTCATTAAAATCTTTGAAATAGATGCATTTGAGAGTTATTGTTGATAACTGGTTGAAACTAAATGTAATTTTCGAAGCTTATTAACCGATGATACTAATGTCTACAATAAATTTAACATCATGAGTTTAATGCTATTAATCGTTAATGCTTGAAAACACTTTTCAGATCCATGACAAATAAAGTGATTACGCTTTGAACTAAACTAAACCGTTCACATTTATTTCCATGTTCATGAAACTGAATAATGTTTTTAACCAGGATGTACATGTTAATCTATCCAGGGGTGATAATATGTCTCTTAATTATTATCAATAAAACCAATTCATGAATTAATTATTATTTAAGCCAATTTTGAAACGTGCTAGATTAAACTAGGTGAAAGTTTTTATCTAAAGTTGATTGGTGTAAACACTTGAATCATTTCAGTAAACCATTAGGATCAAATGAGCTTAATTATACTATTGCACCAAATTGTAGTCGCACGTACACTACTTTGATTTTATGTTTGTTTTTAAACAGTAGAGTCATACATACAAGATACATGATCTTAAAACTATGTTCATTTTACCATTAATTAATATTGCTGTTTCCCATGCAGTTCAACTGTGTATATTCTTCATACGAAACACAGCGCATGCAAATTCATACCATTTAAACGTTTGGCCGCAATACTAGTATTTTGATTATTACTTAAATGATTAGACAACAATTATCAACTAATTTTAAATATCTCAGTCTCAAAGAAGATCAGTCATGGCCTGAGTAGCTTAGTATTGATGTCTGAAACTGTAAAGTTATATAAAGTAAATTAAAATCTCACAAGTTTTATGAATTCCTTCTAGAACACAGATATATTTTGCTAACAAGTATCAATCATCAGGTTTTCCTGTTAACCATGCCCAACCTTTGTTATCTTCAAATTACATATCATGTTAACAAAAATTCATTATATCCAGGAAATAAGTTGAAATTTGAAAACTCTATCCGTATTTTCATTATTACTGTCTTATCGCCTCAGATCACGTCCTGCTTTTATTTACAATTTTTTTCACTAACTAACTTAAAGAACCGTGATATGTTCTTTTACTCTGTAATTGTGTCATTGACACCTATTCGCCAACTTTGGTTTCACTATGAAGTAAGTATGTTAAGTGAACTGCACCGGTTACATAGCTGGCCATTAAGAACCTAAATATCTTATTCTGTATCATTTCATGTAAATACAACTACAATTAATTTTATTCCCACAATCCTACATGCTTTTGTCGAGCTCAGGAACTTCGGTCTCGCGTGTGAACACTAAAGCTCTAGACCACTGAGCTGGCATCCAACGGGAATAATGTAAAACTTCAATCAATCCATGATCTTGAGTAACCATTCATCCATTGTCTGAGGGAGATAACTGTCTCTACTCAACACAGATTTGACTCCGCTGATCACAGTTTCTCACCAAAAGTCCATCAGATCCATCCAGAAGCCAGTCACTAGTGAACGCAGGTGAGGAGTTCCGTACAAGAACAAAACGACCATCTAGTGATTCTAGGTTTGCAAAGATAATCTAGCTTAGATCTGTTCATGAATTCAACTAAAAAACTTACTAACATCTCTACAAACCTCCATTCTGTTAATGATTTTATTTCATTGACATTTTTCCTTCAAATATTCGTAAAATCTATGACTTGTTTTTGACTACTCGCGAGTAGGTTAAAAATATAATAAACAAGCAATAAATGTTTTTTAGATGTCAGACGGTAACTACCAACGAAATGAAGGATGCGTTTAATCCTTCTTGAGATTCATTAATTAGATGAACTGTATCTCAATGTTTATTTCAATACTGAGACTTAAACCAATAGCCCATCGTTGTCTACTTAACCCCTTAGTTCAGAAAGACACTAACCTTATTTTCATTTTTGCATTTTATAAATCACGAATTAAGCGAATGTGGAAGAATTAATTCATGGAAAATATAACTTTAAAGAACTCATTTTCAAGATTCAAATTCACGATGTGAAAAAAAGCACTTTCGGAAATAAATTTTTGATGAATCGATTTTGAAACTCTTCAACACTTCTATATAAGTGTCTTGTTATCTTATGGTTAACTTTAAATATGCATTAGAAAGTTCAACGTGTTAATGTTATTAAGAAAATCATTTCACAGTCTCACAGCTGAATAAGTGCGTATTATGGTCAGTTTTCTTCACGTTAAATTTTGGGCTCTCTAGATCATAAGATAGGAACTCAGATTTGCAAAAACATACTTTGTATATTGTATGTATATCGGATCAAAATATAACGGAAGCAAGTTATAGGGAGTACTTCTTCTGTCTTTAATATGACTTTCCAGTAATGCATAACCTTTATTTCACTCGGCGCTGAAGAAAACTTTCAGTTTTACTGTACTCAATATGATTAAATATTCTAAATCCTATCTGTTCGCAAGTTATAATGACAATTATTCCTGGTCAAACATATCTATAACGATTTGGTTACTATATAATAGGAAATTAAATATATTTTTTAATTGTTCTTTGGCTGATATCAAACTTTGACTCATCAGAGATCCTGACAATTAGAATCAATTTGTAAATTTTTTAAAAAATTCTGAAATACACATGAATCCATTACTGTAAAACTAATCAATCTCTTGAAATCAACAAAGTAGTCCTATAAACTACCATGAAGTTAATGCGTAATGTTATGCTCATAATAACTGATATCACAATAATATTGTTAACTCAATTTACTGAAACTTTATATAACATTGACCAAAAAGTAATTAAAATAATTGTCATTATTTATTCATCTCTATATGGTTACAAACATTCACAAAATATGATTCTATTCTACCACAGTAACTGATGTTATCTTTAGGTTTCTTAATGTAAATATAAATTGTTACTAAGGTTTCTATATTCCCTTTTTCTGATTATTATAATAAAGAAAGTGAATGAATGTCAGGTAATCACTTTGCATATCATAACTGTAAAGAAAACATCATAATTTAGTAATTTACTTCTTGTGTTTATTACATAATCTTTACATAATCTATACAAATAT